ACATGATACTGTACATAGAAGACCCCAAAAACTCCACCAAAAGACTCCTAGAATTAATCAACAAATTCAGTAGCATAGCTGGATACAAAGTCAACACTCAGAGATCAATAGCATTTCTATACACAAACAACAAATATACAGAGAGAGAAACAAGGGAAAGTATACCTTTCACAATCACAAAAACTGAAATACTTAGGAATTAATCTAACAAAAGCAGTAAAAGATCTATACAGTGAAAATTACACTACTCTGAGAAAAAAAGATTGAAGAGGATTTCAAAAAATGAAAAGACATTCCTTGCTCATGGATAGGAAGAACCAACATTGTGAAAATGGTCATACTTCCAAAATTGTTATACAGATGCAATTTCAATGAAAATACCATTGGTATACCTCACACACCTAGAGAAAACATTTCTAAACTTTATCTCCAACCAGAAGAGACTCAGAATAGAAAAAGCAATCTTGGGCAACAAAGGCAAGGCAGGAGGTATCACAATCCCTGATTTGAAATTATACTACAAAGCTACTGTGATAAAATCAGCATGGTATTGGCAAAAAAACAGACTTGAAGTTCAATGGAACTGAATGGAAGATGCAGACACAACCATAAAGACACTCAGCCACCTTATCTTTGAGAAAGGGCCAAACATGTTTGCTGGAAGAAAGACAGCTTCTTTAATAAATGGTGCTGGAAAAACTGGCTTTCCACATGCTGAAGACTAAAACTAGACCCAAGCCTATCACCATGCACCAAAATAAAAAAAAAGTCAAAATGCTTTAAAGGTCTAATTATTAAAACAGAAACACTAGATCTATTGGAAAGGAAAGTAGGTAGAAGTCTTGAAGACATAGGGGGAGGTAGAGAGTACATGAACAAAAACCAAACAGCATGGGAAATACTTCAAAAAATCAACAAGTAGGATCTCATCTTATTGAAAAGTTTTTGCATATCAAAAGAAATCACCAATAGGGTGAAAAGAAAACCCATGAATTGGGAAAAGATTTTATCCAACTGTTCCTCAGACAAAGAACTCCTGTCTAGAACATATAAAGAGTTTTTAAAAATCAGGCCTCCAAAATTCAAAGACCCAATGCAAAAATGGGCAGCTGAGATGAATACACACTTCTCACATAAAGAAACACAAATGGCAAATAAATACATGAAAAAATGTTCAACATCATTAGTCATTCGAGAAACGCAAATTAAAACAACACTGAGATTCCATCTCACCACAGAAAGAATGGCTATCATCAAGAAATCAACCAATAACAAGTGCTGGAGGAGCTGTGGGGATAAAGGAACTCTTCTCCACTGCTGGTGGGAGTGTAGACTGGTGTAACCATTGTGGAAATCAGTCTGGAGATTCCTCAGTAAACTAGGATTAGAGGTCCCATTCAACCCAGCTATTCCCCTCCTGGGTATTTTCCCCCAAGAACTGAAAACATCATACCACAGCGATATATGTGCACCCATGTTTATAGCAGCACAATTTGTAATAGTTAAGTGTTAGAAACAACCCAAACGCCTATCAACTGAGGAATGGATAAAAAAGATGTGGTATTTTTATACAATGGAGTATTACTGAGCTATAGAGAAAGATAAACTAGAGGCTTTTATAGGTAAATAGATGCAACTAGAGACCATACTCATTAGTGAAATAAATCAGATTCACGTGTGTAAACATATTCCCCCCTACTATAAGAAACTAAAAGAGTAAATAAAATCTAAAAGGTACAATAGATATTGTGAAAGGGAAAAGAAATTGCTTGTATAGGAGGGAGCAACCAGGATGAAGGAGGGGAGAGGAAAAAGAAAGAAGAGGGAAAAAATATGTATATATATATATATATATGTGTGTGTGTGTGTGTGTGTATGTGTGTGTGTATATATATACATACACACAGGATAGCTAGGATAATTGTACTACTAGTATCTTTTGGTTTATCAAAAGGAACTGCAAATGTGTAATTGTTTGATCAATCTTGCATGCCTATGTCTGGCTATATGTGCAACCATTTTAAAGATGACATTAGGTAATATACCAACTATTGTTAAAATCCTATTACCATGTTTTGAAATTCTATATTATTGTTCTCTATGCTCTTTAGTTTATATATATTTTTTGTTATTTTGGTTTTTTTAAATGAAAAAACAAAATTTATATGTATATATAAGGATGTCTGGAATAGGTATATTGCTGATGTCTGTGGTTTATTGAAGGGAACAGTCAATGCTTAAAATTTTCTTTTTTCATGACCAATTTTGCACGCTTGAATTGAGTAATCAGAATGACTGATCTCAAAACAACAAGATGCAGTATAAGAACCATTGTTGAATTCCTGCCATCTTGTGTGATGAAGCTCTGCATCATTTCCAATTTTTTTCTTTTATTACTTGTTGCTGTCTTTGATCAGTCTTACATTCTTATGTCTGGTGGACTGAGCAACTTCATTGATGATAACTATGTAATGTAGCAACCATTGTTAATTCCTATCATTTTGTTTTGAGGTCATGTATCATTTTTACGTTTTGTTTTTATGTTGTTTTGATTTTGTCTTTATTGTTGTTTTGTTACTTTACTTTTTAAAATAAAATTTTTTTTTAAAAATTTAGGAATGGAATACATATTATTAATTACATGTGGAAGTACCAAATTTTCTGCTATTTACAGTTTAAATTGGGATTTTCTAGATCATAGCATCTTCAAAAACATTTTGGGGGAGAGAAAAACTTGAAGAAATGTATTTGTCTAATGCATTCACTTAATTATGAAATGGTGAACATGAAGTGTGACCAAATATACAGTGAATGTTTAAAAAATGTATTAAAGTAAAACACATTACCATTATCTCCTGCTAAAAATATTCCCCCTTGCTGTGAATACATTCATCCCTTTGTTCTTGCCACTTTCTCAAGCAGTTCTGAAGTTTCTCCTTTGTGTCTTTACAAGGCGCATTCAGTGAATGCTGCTGCCTAGTGCCATCCTACAGGAAGGCAGTCTCATAAAAATACAGTGTCTTCATCCACCTTATTCACCAGATGTGGCACTGTGTGGCTTCTGGTTCTTTTCCAAAGTCAACATGACCATGAAATGTAAACATTTTGAATCCATTCAGGACATCAAAGCGGACGTGGCAGTGCAACTATAGACACTCATGCAAGTGTTACAGGGTTTTGGGGTGCTGGAATCTCCTCCTAGAGGTGGCCTTTGGGATCTTTCTACCCTTAACCAAAATTGGTCAAGATAAGCACAAAAGATAGTGAGGTTTTACATTTATTCAAGGTATGAGAAAAGAAACACGCTCTGCATAGAGAGCTGCAGGTCAGCTAAAGATATGAATGGATTAAAGGTGAGAAGAGTACCCTATACCTGGTGAGAGCAGACCACTGTGAAAGAGAGAGTGCAAGTGGCCACAACGAAAATGGCAGTTATCTTTTGTACCTCCCATTACTCTGGGTGAAGCAGCCTAGGCCATTCTATCAAAAACCTGCTTGGGTTCTCTGAGAACTTAAGACAGCACTCCCTGATTGGCTCCACATGTAGGATTTTCTCCGCCCATTTGTCTGGCACTTTGGGATAGGCAGATCACTGCCCATTTCCCCAGCCAGTTTGCCATGCCCTGATCTCCTCCCTCAAGAGGACTTCTAGAACTTCAGAGAGATTAATGGGACTATGTCTTTTACTGTAATTAAAAAATGTTTTAAACTATTCATTGGATTTTTAGATCACACTGCATATATTCATGACTTACCCCCTAGCTATCACTGTTCCAGCTGCTTCTCATAAATTTTTAATTTTCCAACCTCCAGGATGTAGGTACTACCATCCCCATTTTACATATGAGGAGACTGAGGCAAAGACACTATTATAAAGCAGATAAAACTTGGTGCCACGACTTGAATCTAGAAAATTCGACTCCACATCATTGCATTGGTTGTGTTCAGATTCTGTATTTATATCCTAAATTACTTCCTTTTGGCTGTTTCTAAGCCAATTGTTATCAGCAGTTCAGAGTATGGACATTTCCAATGGCCATTCAATCAGAAGGCTGCAAACACTGGCCTGGAAAAGTCCCGATTTGCACGTGACTCAGGTGTTACTCAGCAGCCTCGCCCAGACCTCCCCCGCAGGGGAATTCTCGCCTCACCACACCGGAAGCGAGGGGCTATTTTAGGCTAAGGATGCCGCCGGCTCGGGGATCTCGATTTGGGATCCACTCTGCCATGGTTAGCGATGTCTCCTGAGGCACAAAATTCCGTAGGCTGCGTCTTCTCCCAGATTCGACTAAAAAACGCGAAACTACACCAAGGCGCCTGGGTTTTGAGGGAGATGTGATCCAAACCACACATTAGCTCCACCGAGCGAGCAGGGACGCTCGGGCAGATCCCGAACATGTCCGCTGCTCTGGCAACCAGGACCGGCACCGCCTTCCGGGCTGCGCGCGCCGACCGCTCCCGGCCGCGCGGCTTCCGGGCTGCCCGGGCGCGCCTGCGCCGTGGGGCGCGGGAGACTGACAGGAGCCTGGGAGGGAGGGGGCATTCTCGGGCACCCCAAACCGCGAGGCGGCACGAGGAGGAGAGGCCCGAAAACAAAGCGAAGCGCCGCCCAAGTCAGACGCGCGCCCCTGCCAGGACCGGTTTGTTTTTCTGAGGCCCAATCCCACCCTTGTCGCGCGCGCAGCCTCGCAGCTCTCGAGCGATGGGCGGGCCGGGGCCGAGCGCGACAGTCCAGCGCACCAATCCCACTTCTCAGCTCCCTTCCGCCCCGCCCCCACGCCCCGGCGGTCTCCGCGGCTTTCAGGGCGCGGGGGGCGGGGCCAGAGCCGCGCGCGCCACAATTTGACCAATCGCGCGTCTCCCTTCCTCCTTCTCGGCTGCGGCCCCGCCCCCGAGGCTGGGCTCGTACAGCTTCCGCTGCGCGCGCTTTTTAAGCGTTCTAGAGGCGCCGCCGATCTGTGGGCCGGAGGTGTCCGTGCGGTGGGCTTCGTGGGCGGGGGTGTGTGTGTGGAGGGTTTTGTGGCGCTTCCCTCGCGTGGCCAGGACACGCCGCCCCGCCTCAGGCTTGGGGTCTCCGCCTGGCCCTGGGCTTCGTGCAGCGGCGGGCCGGAGGCGGGCTCCTGTGAGGTCTCGCCCCGCTCAAGTTGGTGCCTGTGTCCGAGGAAGCAAGCTGGGGTCGGGTCTCCTTTTCCGGGTCTGGTGCTTTAAATAAAACGGCCCTCAGGACGCAGTGTTTCTCCGGGCACGGGCCTGGGGTGGCCGTCCCCGTCCCCGCCTTCGGGTCCAGGGCGCTGGGCAGACGGCCGGATGAGGGAGGGCTTTGCCGTCTCCGCTGGAGCTTTAGTGACGAATTGAAGAATTGCAGACTAGATGAATGGTTCTTCTTCCCTTTTCCCTCAGTAATGTAGGTTTCGGTGATACTTTAGAAATAAAATAAAACAGCCACTAAAATCCTAGCTCTTTAACTTGTCCCCTAGTAGACCCCGTATAGGAGGATGAATAGAAAACTGCACAGAGCAAGAATGGGTGGATCACAACTAACTGATCAGGAGGTTCTGGCTTGCTGAGGATGTGTGGTACCATAATGAGAAGCTCTGATGACACTTGGACTGTGTAGACGGATGGCTAATTTGATTTGCATTTTATAATTACTTTTTTTTTTTTTTAGAAGTAAACCAAGATTTCATTCCCAAGATGGAAAGTCCTTCCGGCTCGGCCGTGATTTTACCTAGCACTCCGCAGGCCTGTGCGGATCCCCCGTCTCCGCGTACGGATAGTTCACGGAAAGCGGTATGGCAGCCTGGGTTCCTCCAGCGCACCCGTTCTGTGCATCTGCGTTTTGTGGCCGCGGTGGTTTTCCCGCTCGTGAAGAATGCATAACACCTGTGTCCTCCACCCGCTTCCCAGGAGATTGGCATCTTGAATCAGTTACTTTAGTTTCAGCTCAGGTTGTTGCAATAATCTAAACTGAGGAAGTCTGGGTCTGTGTAATATCCGTAACGAATCTTTGTGGCAGTAGGTCTTATCTTCAGTATGTAGGTCTGAGGCACCCGGAGTAGTGTCAGTCACATGCTAGTTGCTAAATAAATGCCCATGATTACTGGGATAAATGTCTCAGCACTGTTTAGAAGGGTGTTGACTTTGCTAAGAAAATAAAACTATTGGAGTGTCTGGAAACTAAAAACATTTTATGGTGCTTACTTTAGATACATGGAGACAGAAAGCCATCTAGTGGTACCAGCTGTAGAAATGTAAGGCCTTTATTTCTAGTAGATTTATTTACATCGGCGATTTTCTTGATTAACGTTTTTAACGTTTTGTGCCCTTTTCAGCCCATGAGTGCAACACTTAAAGAAAGATTAAGAAAGACAAGATTTTCATTTAATTCCTGTTGCAGTGTAGTAAAACGTCTTAAAATAGAGAATGAAGAAAATGATCAGACCTTTTCAGAGAAACCAGCATCTTCAACAGAAGAAAACTGTCTGGAATTTCAAGAATGTTTTAAACATACAGATAGTGAATCTGAAGAACATACATACTTGAAAAATACTCTCGAGAATATCAGTGCATGTGAATCTAAGTCACTTGATACTGGGTCACACAGAGTTCCCCAAAATGATTTTGTGAATGAGAATCTAAAACAAGGATTAAAGGAAGAAAAAGCAAAATTGGTGAAACAGGTGCAGGAGAAGGAAGACCTCCTTCGGAGGCTAAAACTAGTCAAAATGTATAGATCAAAGGTGAGAAAAATTTCCAAATCATTGCATATTTTAAATTTTTTACATAAATTGCAGGGCAGTAATTTCCAAAGTAGGAGATAAATTTCTTTTAGCATAGTAAAGCAATAAACCAAGTATTCAAAAACCTGGTTTCCAAGTTTAACTGATATATAAGTCCTAGATTTAGATAGTTGATTAAAAGAGACCTGGCAATATCAGATAAAACTTTTTAAAGTCTCAGCTTTTATATAATACACAGTTGAAGCTTTGTTCTTGTTTCTAGCCCATAGCAGTATTAGAAGTATCAATTGTTAGAGGTAAATACAGTTGGAACAGAAGTGACAGCAGACAGTGAGTAAAACTAAAAATGGCCACAGAGTACACAGTAAAAAGTATTTTTAATAATGATCTTGTGGTCATTTTCAAATAATTAAAATATTTTAGGCATTTTGTTTGTGAAAACAATGAATATATATTAGATTTTACACTTCAGCATTAAGTTAAATAGAATTTGGGTATTTGGACCAGGATAACTTCTGTTTCCTGAATAATTCATGCCTATGTAATTGTTCGTTCTTCTCCAGCAATGTGCAATAAATGATGGAATATTTTGCTGTTTTGAATTTTTAGTATTTTTCAAACATGACTTACTTATTGAGATTGAATGTCATTTTTAATTTCAATACTGTTATTTCTTAGAGCAGTTTTAGGTTCACAACAAAATTGCATGGAAGGTACAATGTAGTCTCATTTTAAAAGCACAGTTGTATGAAAAGTGGATTTCTAAAATGTGTATTATTGCTTCTTTACCTAGTTTTGCTCTACTTAATGATTTGAATTTTCTCTTGAGAGTTAGTTGTCCCAGAGTTTGGACTAAACAGAAGGTCAGTAGAGCTCAAGTTGAGTGATATTTGTAACCTTTCTGCTTATACCATTCTACTTTTTCATAAGTAGAAGTTCCAGTCATTCCCAGGAATGTTAGCCTTTAAACCTACCCAGATTGACTTGAGAGCTTTGATTAACTAGCATGACTGTCTTGTTACTGATCTATATTCTTTTTTTTTTTCTTTTTTAGAATGACCTGTCACAGTTACAGCTGTTGATAAAAAAGTGGAGAAGCTGTAGCCAGCTGTTGCTTTATGAGTTGCAGTCAGCTATGTCTGAAGAGAACAAGAAACTAAGCCTTACTCAACTGATAGACTACTATGGGTTAGATGATAAATTGCTACACTATAACAGAAATGAAGAAGAATTTATAGATGTTTAATTCATAACATTTATTCTCAGAATATTTTTTTCTTTCTGTTTTTTTTTTTTTTTTTTCCACTTTTTCCAGTATTAGGGGATAAAACCTAGGCCCTCACATGCACTCTACGACTGAGCCATACCTCTGGTTCCTCTCCAGCAAATATTTGAGAATGGCAACTTAATGAAAAGATACTTAGACATTTTAAAGGGAGGATGTTAGCCATTAGGTTAGTAGGGGGCGGACCTATGGCACATGTGCCACAGCAGGCAGTTTGTATCATTGACAGCTCTAAAAGGCTTGCCATCAGTACATTAGGGTTTACAGTAAGGTGTCTTGACCATCAATTTAGGGTACTCTAAGACATATAAATTAAGTCCTAAAATGAAATACAGCATTTGAATAGATTTACCAAAGAATATCTGACATTTTGTTAAAAGGTGGATTTGGTGGCACTTGCCTATATCTAATCCCAGCACTATGGGAGGCTGACACAGAAGGATGAAAAATTTGGGCCCAGCCTGGGCAATTTAGCAAGACTCTGCTCTTCCACCCTCACCCCGGGATAAAAGAGGGCTAGGGATGTAGCTCAGTGTAAAGGCCCTGGGTTCAATCTCTAGTACATAAATGAATGAGTGGATGGATGAATGAATGGGCCAGGAATATAGTTCCGTGTGAAGGCCCCAGTGTGTGCACGCGCACGCACGCATGCACACAACGTTTTAAAAAATTTTGGACAGTACTGGGAACCAGTTTTAACGTGTTGCTTGATTTTTATGGCAAAAGGTCTTATTTTCAGTGTTAAGAAATAGTCCAGTCTGGTGAATGTCTAAACCTAAACTGGTCAAAAAGTTCTCACCTCGCTCCTAAGTTTGTAAACCTTGTTTCCATTCATTTATTACCTCTTGTCATCTGCTGATCTGAGATCAGATAATTAAACTTTATGTCCAAAATTATATTCTTTTTTGCCTTCATATTTTTTCATATTGCTCATTTATTGAAACAACTCTTTCTTAGGAAGTGACCTCATTGTCTACATCAAGATACCTGTCATACAAGGTCCTTCACATTTACGCTTTTTCTCCTTCATGTGTCAAATAAATAAGCAGTGTCTGTACAGTTCACAGTTGGTTTCTTCAGCCAGAAACCAACCTGTTGTCAAATTATGTAATTGTAACTGTCATCTTGGCTGTATATGGAGATACGACCTAAGCTGGCTTAGTCTCTGAGGATTTAGAATTGAACTCAGGGAAACAGAGCCCATTCTGTTTGTGGCTGGAGCTGTTAAATTTAAACTTGGAAGCAGCAGAGTTGACCTTCAGAAAGAGAGTATGTGTGCTGTCTGAGGAAGGTAGAGATAGAGCAATTTGTGGATCAGCAGTTTTATAGCTACTGCCTCTACCAGGGGTACCTTAGTTTCAGCCTAGTCCCTTCTACGGATGTAACAAAGCCTTGATTTTTGGTATGGCAGGGGACCACAGGGCCATGGTCTTGTGTCCATTTGCTACGTACACAAATTCTAGTTTGTAGACACTGCCCTTGTCATTGGCATTTGTGAATCTGGGATTCCTAAGTGGACATTCCTGAGTGCTGTGCTATTCTGGTGCTTACCAGCCATCCTCTGTCACTGCTGCTCAGCCAGGGGTCAAAAATGTGGCAGGGGTGTTGCCCTTGTGGTGCTGCCATTCTGGTAGGTCAGTGTAGGGTACGTATTTAGATTCTGGAGTTTACAGCTGCCATTACTGACAGATACGTCCTTTGATGTCACTCTTGTGTGTCCACTTGTGGAATTCTGGTTCTGGGAAAGCTGGGGCATGTAATGGGGCTTCCAGGCATTGGCAGCTGGATCCACCTGAGGATTCCAAGAACATAGCAGGCACTAGGATCTTGGAAGAAGAATGGGGCCTTCAGATTTGGGGATGCCCACAGGTAGCCATCTTCAGTGATTTCTGTTGAATTTTACTTCCATTTGATAGGATGCATTTATTGAAAATTATAGGATGCATTTATTGAAAATGACTGAATATCATATTTTTATTTATAAAAATGAGAGCTAACCTTTAACAGTATTTGCTTTGTGCCAAATTTAAGAGTATTCTGCAAGTGTTAACACCTCAGGTTTAAAGGTGAGAAAATTCAAGATTAAGTAGTTATTTTAAAAACTCATTGAAAAGATAAGTTGTTGGTAATATTGTTTGGATAATTAAATGCTGATTTCTTGTACTCTGAGTAATTTAAAGTTAACAAGATGCAGTGTATTAACTGTTGTTACCCTCCTATCATATTGTTTTGGAATTTTTTGTTTTGTTTTTTTTTTGCCTTTAAATAAAAAAGAGTAAAAATAAATAAATAAAAACTAAGTGGTTATTTCAAACTTAAGTGGCAGAGCCAGGGTTTGAACCCAGGCAGTCCAGCAACAGAGCTCATATTCTTTATTCCTATGTATAAGACCGTGTTATATTTGACTCAGTTTATGTCACTAGTTGGTAATTGGTAAGGTCTTAAAGAACTAAAAATGTGAAAGTAATTGCTGTTCAGTAGAAGCTTAGAGGAATCTTCCATGAACAGCACTGACAGAAGAGTTGGGGTACAAGACCTGTATGTCCTTGTACTTGCCAGCGCCCCCCCGCCCCAAGCCAGAAGGTACCTCTTGCTGAAAAGGCCCCTGAGCATGCGGGTGGGTAGCTCCTGCTAACCTACTCCATCCATGCCTCAAAGCTGAGGTAGCCAAGCAAGGAATATCGTTGGAGTCAACCAGGGTTAATGAAAAAGAAACAAATGAAACAGGATGTTTGGTTGTTAAGACCTGGGAATCCACAGAGTGTTACCCAGTGAAAAATATGGCACTAGCTATTAGCAAGTGTCCAGAAGTCACCTTAGGTGGTAGAGCGCTTGTATTCCACTGTGGGTGGGAAAGATCAAATCTAGGACATCCATGGTTGACAGAGAACATCTAGCAATCCCAAGTGTAAAGTGTTTACGCCCCTCACATAGATCCTTGGCCTCTTTCCCTGCTCCCCACAGTTCCTGTCCCAGACAGTTTTAAAGGTCCCTAGATACAGGAAATATTACTAGTGGACACTTCCTTGCTGAATTAGCCAAACTATTTCAGGAGTCATCCTATTTCTAAGGAGGGGGAGTTGTCAAAATGATTTTGGCCTTGACATTTACCCATCTAGCACTGATAACTGTGAGTGTGGTCAGTGAAACCTGGAGTTTCTTCCTAAATGGAAGATTTTATAATTGCTCTCTTGCTTTTCCTGGACCTTTGTGTCCTGGATGTGGTACTGAGGATCAAACTTAACATTTACTTGATAAATTGCAGAACTGTGAGGGATTGCATCACTGAAGTGATCACTGGCCAATGGTCCCAATGTTAGCGCCTTAGAATGCAGCAGTCAGCCAGCTATGAAGGGGGAGGAAGTTTTCTGCCAGTTTTCTCAATGTGCAGTTATCATTATATGCATGAGTAAAGCAATAAACTGTTTCATGGAAATAAGGTACCTTTTTTTTTTTTTTTTTTGCTAAGCTGTATTGGGTAGGGCACAAAATTGAGCTCTATTACAGTAAGAAATGAAGATTAGGTTTTCAAAGTATGTCATAATTTACAAGTGATTTAAGTCTTGGAAAAAGTAAATAATTTACCTTGTTCTCATTGATGGAACAATGATTAATCTTCAAAGTTACTAGTGTCTACAAAATTACTAGCTAACTTTAAATGAATAAAATAAATCTTGGCTGTGCAGGTGCCTGGGAGGCTGGCCGCCTACACCTGGGAAGCCATGCGGCAGGGAGCACCAGCCTTTGGGCCGGCCACTAGCCATGCAGGCACCCTGGAGTTGGGCAGTTGGTGCCCGGGAAGCCATGCGGCGGTGTGCGCTGGCCCATGCTGGAGGCCAGCCGCCGCTGCACGGTCGAGAACTATCATGGCACAGAGAAGCAATGACACAATTGGCCTGCCACGTGCTGGCTGTGGAGGCCCACCTGGGGACGTGCATGAATCATCTTGACATGGAGAAACCCCTGGGAATACATGCCACACAATGGTCACTCTTGCCCCTGCCCTTGAGAACCACAAGGGTCTAGAGTCAGTGGAGAAGCAGCTGCTGAACAAGGACTCAGAAAACACAAGAATACAGGCTATGCTGAAGACTCAGAGGTCTAGTTGATCAGGGTCACGAGAGCCGTTTGGAAGCTGGAAACCAGGAGGACCTTGCACAATACCTGGGGAGATACCCTGGAAGCCATTCTTCCCCTGACAGTACAGGCTGCAGTGCAGGAGCACGTGGAGCTCTGGAGAGGTCTGCACCGAGATTCCTGCTGCCTGTGCTGACGGTTGGGGAGAGGACAATAAGTGGTTGTGGGGTCCCAATGTGCTGGGAGGCTGCAGAGAAAAAGCTACAAAAAATGGCTTTTGCCCCAGATGGCTCACAGATGTTAGTAAGAATTGCCTCCTCAGTATTCTATAGCTGTGACGAGGAGGCCAAGGAGAGAAAACAAAGAGACAGAGAAAAAGCAGCTGCTTTTGCTGCTTTTATTTTGAGGCAGGATCTCACCAAGTCAACTTATTTGAGAAACAGACCCCAAGTCTGATTCTCAGGGCCCCAAGAAGAACTCGACGACTGCATTCATCTGCTACCACTGTTAAAAGCCAGGCTACTTCAAGAGGAACTGCCCTAAAAAGTCCCCTAGGCCATGCCCTCAATGCAAAGGTGACCACTGGAGATCAGTCTGCCCTCTGAAGCAGAGGCCCCAGAGCTCAGACTCATCCTACCAGTTAGTCTAACAGGAATGAGGGGACCCGGGGCATACTCTGCCTTCTCCCTCTGGCCAGACCGTCATCTCCATCGAGGAGTCCTGGGTAATCATGACTATAGAGGAAAAAGAAAACAGCCTGTTGCTAGACACAGGTGCAAGTCTCTCGGTCCTTCTTTTCAATCCTGGCCTGCCTTCCAGCATTCACACCTCAGTGACAGGAGTCACTGGTGAGGAGGCAATACGCTATTTTTCACAACCATTAGGCTGTAACTATTTGTTAGATCTTTCTTGCGTATCTCTGTCTTCCTGAGAAACCACTTTGAAGATACCACCATGCATTACAGCAGCCATTGTTATTACAGAGTTAATCTGTCCATAACTCTGTATTGTTCCTATGCTATTTTGTAAATGTATGTATGTTTATTACTATGTGTTTCCCACAACAGCCATTGAGAATAGTCAGTGAATATTCAATTGGTACAATAAATAAATAAATAAATAAATAAATAAAATAAATCTTGAGCCAGGCACTGTGGTACCTGCCTTTAGCACATATTCTGGGAGGCTGAGTCAGAAGGATAGCAAGTCTGAGCCCAGCCTGGGCAAATAAGTTAGTGATATCCTGTCTCAAAATAAAAGGGGATTGGGACATAGCTCCATGGAAGGGTCCTTGGTCAATCTCCAGTACTGCAAATAAATAAATACTTTTTTGTTCAGAATGAGGATTGAACCTAGGGCCTTGAGCACATTAGGTAAATGTTCTACCACTCAGCCTGGCATCGAATGTTTCTGTTTAAAATCTATTCTTTCTTGAATGAAAATAGTTCTTTTACATGTTTATTCATTCAGGAAAAAATTTATATACGATTATAAGGCTAAAATCAAATAATTTACTATTAAAAACATGCAACTAAGAGGGGACTCTATTAAAATTTCACAATATGAAGGAAGAAAAAGAAAACATTTTACCCAACTGAAATGATTTTTGAAATGATTTTGGCCTTGTGATTCTTGCTAGTGTTTTACATTTTAACAAGAGCAGGGAATGTTTTCATCCTTAATCTTTCAACTTCAGCCTGAAGTACTGAAATCTGTTCAGCTTGTTCTTTTGAAATATTTGTCAGCTTTTGTTGTCGCATCATATTTTTGTATCGTTCTTTGGCAATCTTTTCACAAGTCAGTGTAGACCCTATTCCAAAAACCAAGAGGAAGGAATTAGTTGGATCATCACCAACCCTTTTAATACAAAAGCAGCCCCCAGAATCAACGATGTGGAGGAAATGTTCTTCACTTTATAATCAGTGTGCGGATTTTAGGCTTTTTTTTTTTTTGTCTTTTTTTTGAGACAGGGTCTCACTATGCAGTTCAGGCTGGCCTTGAGCTCACTTTGTAGCCCAGGCTGGTCTCGAACTTGCAACAGTCCTCCTGCCTCAGCCTCCTGAGTGCCGGGATTACAGGCGTGCGCCACCACGCCCAGCTAGTGTGCAGATTTTAAAGAAACTTACAGTTGGTTACAGGAAAAAGGCTTACCCATTGCATTGCAGATGTCTTGTCTCTCTGAGACAGCTACCAACTCCTCCCGCAGGTTGCAGCTTAGAGTGTAATTTGCTGTGTCTTTTTGATTGCTGAACTTTCCCAATTTTTTGAGTAGTTTTTTGCAGTTATTGACATTCTTTTTGTGGGTCTGAAAATTTTGTGCCCATGAAACACCACAAAAATAGCATTGAAACACATGTAATTTATAAAGGCATATTATTATATTTGACATGCACGACCATCCCTAAAGACAACATCTTATCTTGTCCCCTCGTGCCTGCTGTAGGGCCTACCCACAGTAGACACTCAAATTATGTGTTGAAAGATGAAACAGTATGTTAATACATTTTAGAAAAAGCTTTGTATATTCTTAAAAATTAGGGACTATTTTTAAAAGCTTGAGATTACTTTGTTCCCACCTTACATATACCTTGTAATAAAAACTGAGTGTTTGTTATTCATTTGATAAGACAAAGAGTTTACAATGCCAAGGAAAGCCTAGCATAAATCATAAATGTTATGTAAATCATATGTAAAATAGGAAATTCCTTTCTAATCACATATGTCCCCAGAGGTTAATTCAAATATTTTAAAAAGTACTTTAGTCTATCCCACTGGTCATGGTTGCCTCTAATTACCTTATGGATACCAGTAAATGTTCAAGATTCTGCTTGGTTCCTTCCAAGTTCATGGTTGAGACACTATTATTTTGCTTCAGTGATTCACAACTGTTGGAATTATAATGATTAATATCTTTTGAGACTTACCTTATCTAAAACATTAATGGTTTGTTCCATTATTCCAATCTGAAGAGCAATCAAAGAGTCATAGTTTGGTTCATTGAGGTACTTGAAGAGAAAAAGAAATATGGAAGAGTATTTTTCTCTACTTTTTTCAATTGTTATAGTTTGTGTCTGGCTGTCTCTGCAGAGCTTCATGCAGTCATGGGGTGGGCTTCTAGAGTTTATGATTAATCCATGGTCCAAAGCTGGGATTATGGGTGTGAGTGCTTCACCTCCCCTGGGGTGGGTGGCCTGCATACAATATAAGGGAGGGAAGGAGGCACGCTCTCTCCACTGCCGCTCTTCCCTTTTACTCTTAACTGTTTTTGCTGTTTTCTGCAGCCAGGAACGGTTGCCCTGTGCCATGTGCCACTCTGCCTTGGAGCCAGCCAAGCATGGACTGAAACCTCCACAAACTGTAAGCTAAATAAACCTTTCCTTCCTTAATTCTGGGCATTGGTATTTTGTCTCAGCAATGAGTAACCAAGGCAATAACTTTTTAAAGATTGTTTTTTAAAAAATTACTGGTTGTCATAGCATATATCTATGTTAGTAAAAACTGGTTTGATTTTCATGCATGTTTACTGGTACCAGCCATCAATACATTCACTCATATAATATTACAAATGCCTAGGCTGTTTTCTCATTCATTCATTTATTCCACTCACTGATTATTAACTGTCCCACTTGACACCTACAGTAACAGAGTTCTAGTTAAAGATAATGAGGGCTAAATAAAGATAGATAACATGACTCAGCCTTCAAGAAAAAGAGAACACACAGATATAATTAGTTGCCAGAAGAAATGTAAAGTGTTAGCAAATTCAAAGGTGGTTTGTTGCGGAGTAGGATCTTTTCCAGTTTGGGAAATCCAGAAAGATTTACACAGGAGATGACACTTAAACTAAACCTGGGAGAGCAGGTAGACCTGAGATGTGCAAACCAGAATAAGGAAGGAAGGAAGGGAAAGAGGCTGTTGAAAGGGGAGGAGGAGGAAGAAGAAAAAAGAAAGAAGTGGAAGGAAAAGAAGAAAGGAGGAGAAGGAGCAGAAGGAGGAGGGGAGTGTTGATGAACAAGAGGAAAAGTGGCAAATGAATTTGAGTCTGAGAAGTTAGAGTCAAAGTTATTGTCCACTTCAGGACTTCATAATTCATTTGCTAGTTAAGAAGTATCAGTCAAAAATGTCTGAGCAGGTGGTAATGTTATTAAAGTGAAATAGAAATTAAAATCTGATAGGAGTATACAAAGCAAAAAGTAGATGTTACTGTGCTTGGGGCTCCAAGGCTCTGCAGAACCTCTGCCTGCGGAGGCACCTGCTCTTTAAAATTTAGAAAAAGACTTTTAAAAAAAGGAGAGGGAGAATATTTAGAAATTAATTTTAAACTGGGTGTGGTGGTTCCTGTAATCTTCAACTGGTCCTTGAGGGAAGTGAGGGACAGAGAATTGAGGTGGGGATAGAGTTGGACTGGAATCCAGAGAGCTGGAATTAGATTTTTAGAATTGATCACTGATGTTAGAAGAACAGAAATGATCACTGAAGAAGAGGGCATGGAAAGAAGTGCAGAGCTAAAACAGAATCTTGAAGAAAGGATATTTAACACTTAGAAGCAAAAAAGTTAAAGAGGTGAAGTGGTCAACATGTTGGAAGAAAAATGTGAAAAAAATAAGGATAATAAAAGCCAAAGGGTAGATTGGACGTGGTGGTGCACACTTGTAAACCCAGCAGTTGGGAGGCTGAGGCAGGAGGACTGCTGCACGTTTGAGGCCAACTTGAACTGCATAGTGAAACCCTGTCCAAAAAAAAAAAAAAAAAAAGCCAAAAACAAAAGCCAAAGGGATGAGTAAAGAAATGAGTCAAACACTAAGGAGAATTGAAGGATGATAAAGAAGCACTGGATCAAACAATGAAGAAGGGATCCCTCCATGAACTGTAAGATAGAACCTTGCTACTGAATGGGTCCGAAAGATGTGGAGGTAGCAAGTGTAAACTGCTAGAAGAAGAATAATTCACAGAGACATGAGAAGATGCTTCTGGCTTGGAATATGCTTGATGTCATGGAAGCTTCATTACTGAATACTGGTTAGATGAATGAATGGAATGAGAGGGGAGGGAGAACTTGCCTTTTGACGATCTCTTGAAAAAAACAGCATTTGAATGTCCCAAGCCTTCTGATTGAGATCTTCCATCTCCATCTCCATCTTCTTATGCTCCCACTCAATCTGATATATTCCTTTGTGCACATCTTTACTTTCCATCATACTAGCAACTTTCTTCTGTCCTTGAGTCTTAAAAAAATACAATTGGTATTCATAGAATACGATCTGCGTACAGACTTACAGGCTACCTGAAGCAGAAGCTATCTCAGAGAACACTTGGATCACAGAGGCAATCTTTTTAATGTGCAGCGAATATTAAAAATATGACTCCTGGGAACTCCTTTCGCCATTGGCTGATCTACCAACCTGTATGCCCTCGACAGCCTAGTCACTGCCCTCCCACCTGATGCTATGGATAAGGGATCATCGTTACTGCAGGTAGTCACAGCATTATCTGCTTGGTAGGCAATCAAAAAGAAAACAAAAAACAAGAGTTAAGCATGACATTTAAAGACCCAAGCGGTTGGCACTTTACACTGAATAACCAAAATGAAATTAAAGAGTATTTTAAAAAATTGTTCTAAGATGACTAATAGTGAAAACATTATATCTTTATAATTTACATGAGGTAACATTTTACAAACATTTAACATTTTCTTTCCAAAATCTAGCGTTTTGAACCTCATGCTACCTTCTACTGTCTTTTAAAAAAATTAGTAGTAAATGTTTGCGATCCATATTAAATACCTTCGCCATGGGAGAGTAGTATTGCATTTTCATACTTTTTACTTCTTTTCCTGTCCTATCTGCCTCCATTCCCAGCACTATTTTTATTATTTTCATTCTGATCATAGCTTAGCCTCTCAATTCCTTGGATTTCCTACTGTCAAGGACCTTTTTTTCCACTGTATTTCCGTCATCCAGCAACCATAGCGATACCTTTGCTCTTGACAGGGATAGCTCCAAAACCTAAAGTTCAAACAATTCTCTAGAACATTCTTTCTCAACTGGGGAAATATGTTGCCCCATCAGGGCACAATATACTTTAGGCTATGTTTGGAGAGATTTTCGGTTGAGACAACTGGAAGGCGTCTAGTGTGTGGAGGCCAGGGGTGCTGCTAAACATCTGCAAAATAAAGACCCCCCCCCCGCAAAAAAAAAAAAATACAAATAACCTGGCCCCAGATGTTAGCAGTGAAAAGGTTCAGGACTGTTTCAGAGCTCTAACTTCTTCCTGCCTTCCTTTCCAGTCAATTTTTCTTGCAGGGGGTTGCTTCACTGTCATTATTCCTCTGTCATTCCTCTGTCACTGTCATTATTCCTCTTTCATATTATTCAACCATCACTGACTGAGCTCCTTACCCCACCCTCCGCTGAGACTGCTCTTGTCAAGTAACTGATGTAGTATGCAACTCTGTCCTCATGGAGTGGTTTCTTCCTGCGTTACTCTTAGACTATCTACTTACCTGTTCTCTGCTAGACCTTTCAGAGTTGGATTTTGCATGCAGGCTCAGATTCCCTTTTCTTAGCTCTACCTCTAGGTGGTCTCAAACAAACTCACAGCTTAAATGATCTACAGTATATATAATATCTGTGTGCAGCAATTCATATGTAATTATATGCGATCTATACTGACAGCACTTCTAAGCCCTGAGCTGTCTCCTTTGCATTTCCTTTGGATTGTTATATATGCAACTCAAATTAACAAAGGATGTAGTTGGGGGGGTCTTTGTTTTGCAGATGTTTAGCAGCACCCCTGGCCTCCACACACTAGATGCCTTCCAGTTGTATCAACAAAAATGTCTCCAAACGTAGCATAAAGTATATCCTGCTCTGATGGGGCAACATATTTCCCCACTTAACAAAAAACCTTTCATTATATGCCCTGAGTCAAAGCTACAGTTCCCTCATTTTTCCCCATGGCAGTTCATGACACCACCATCTACCCAGTTGTTTAACCCAAAATGTTAGGAGGGTTTTTTTTTTAGTCTCTTTATCCTTCACATTCAACCCACCGTGTGAATGTTGCTTCCCCTATAACATGAAAAACCCAGATAAAGTCCAAAGTCATGAGAGCACTGAGGTTACAGGAACCTAGGTATCCTAACCTCTAAGGAAATAAGGAGCAGCCAGGAAGTGGAACCCAAGCACTGGCTGACGGTAGGAGAAGGTCGAGGGAAGCCGCACTTGGCACCGTTAAAGGGGTTGTAAAGAGTTCCGACGAAAATGTTTTTAATACATTGGTGAGGCCAGCGTCAGCTAGCCTGAGAGTGCAGATTCAGAGGGGGCCAGAGACAAACAAGGTCTCTGTCCCTGGCAGGTCCCTCCCTACTTGGCACACCCCATTCACCAGAAAGATAGGCAGCACTGCAGGAAGGTGCAGGGGCCACTTCTGAGACATAGGCCCAGAGAGGCACGGGAACGGCATTCTGGGAAAAGCATGACCCAGCCAGATAGTTTTGCCATATAGAAGGCAAGATTTTAGCCCCTGGTAGAAGAGCAGCAAATCCTGTCACTTACAGAGCCAGAATATGAAAGATTCTGTCTAGAAGAGGACAAACTGAATTAATACCTTTTACCCCCAAAGAAGAGGCATGGAAGGGGGGAAACCCTCAAAACTGTCAAACTAGAACTCTAGATTTATAAAAATTATCCTTCAAAGATGAAAGACAAGTCAGACGGTACACACCTGCACCTGCAACTCCAGCTACCAGAGAGGTAGAGGTGAGAGGACCACAAATTTGGGGTCAGAGGAGACAACAAAGTAAGACTTCATCTCAAAAATGTTAAATGAATTAAAAAATGAAGGCCAAACTAAGACTGTCTGAGACAAACAAAAGTTGAGGGAGCCCATTGCTACTAGACCTGCTCTACAAGAAATGCTAAAATAATTCTTTCAAGGTGAGAAGAAAAGATAGTAGACCATAACTCCAAGCTATAAGGAGAAATGAAAACACTGTATAAACAGTGTAACCATGGAAGTAGTGGGCATGTTGACGCACACCCGTACTCTCAGCTATTTGGCAGGCTGAGCTGAGGCAGGCGGACGGCAAGTTTGGGGACAGTCTGAACTACTTAGTGAGACTCTGTCTCAAAATAAAATTTTAAAAAAGAGGAGAAGGGAGGATGAGTATGTGCTCAGTGGTAGGCCACTTGCCTAGCATGGGTTTGATCCCCCAGCACCACACACACACACACACACACACACACACACACACACACTAGTAACCATGTAAGTGAATATAAAACCAGAATCATTGTATTTGGTCTATAAATATTTTTTTCCATATGATTTAAAAGAAAAATGCATAAAACAGTAATTATAAATCTGCTAATAAGCACATAATGTGAAAAGAGGTAACAATGGCACCATAAAAGGAGAGGAACAGCTTAATGGGAGCAGACTCTTTTTTTTTTTGGTTTTGGTTTTTTTCTGGTACTGGGAATCAAACTCACGACCTTGTGCTTGCCAGGCAGGCGCTGTGCTGCTGAGCTAAATCCCCAGCCCTCAGGGAGTAGACTCTTGTACACTATTGAAGCTAAACTGACACTAATTCAGATTTGTTCAAAATAATAAATAAAGTTTGAATATTGTAATCCCCAGAGGAATCAATAAGAAATTAACTGAAAGTTATAGAGAAAAGAAAATGAGAAAGGGGGATCTAAGCAGTGCACTGTAAGAAATGAGCTATATAGGAATGAAAACAAGAATGAAGAGTTTGAGGAACCAAAAAATGTGAAATACAGAAAACAGACATCAATGTCAGAGTTTCAGTTTTTCACCAGTAATTTCCTTACATGTCAGTAGAGTGAGCTCTGATCACAACAGAATGAAGCTATGAGCCAATAACAAAAGGAAGAATTTGAAGGCTCCCAATCATGTGGAAATTAAATACATTATTAAATAATGGGCCAAAGAAAAGGCAGACTAGAAAAAATTTTGAAATGAGCAGAAATGAAAATACAAAATACCCAAGATGAGATGTACCAAAGCAGAGCTAGGAGGGAAATTTTTTTAGTGGTAAATACATTAAAAAGAAGACAGGGCCAGGGATATAGCTCAGTAGCATAATCGTCTGCCTGGCAAGTGCAAGATTCTGAATTCAATTCCCGGTACCAAAAAAAAAAAAAAAAAAAAGAAGACAGACCCTGCATCAGTAATCTAACTTTACACCTATGGCACTAGAAAAGGAACAAACTATGACTCCAGGGAGGAGAAGGATAGATTAAGATTAGAACAGAGATAGGTGAAATAGAAGATAGAAAAACACTAGGGAGAATCAGTGAAATAAAAAATTGGTTCTTTGAAAAAAAATCTAAATGAGCAAATCTTTAGCTAGACTAAGTAAAAAAGACCTAAATGTCTAAAATCAGAACAGTGGTCAGAGACATTACTATCAGTGCTCTATAAATTTAAAGAATAATATACCGACAATTATATATACAATGTGTAAACTACATCACAATAAAGTAAACATTTAACTCCCTCGTCCCAAACTTTCTGTAGCTTAAAATTTTTTAAATTTTTATTTTTATTAATATATGTTTGTAGTACATAATGATTGCATTCATTGTGGGGAGTTAGAATTTTATTTATCTGGGGGGTGAGGATTATCTGGCAGTAACTTAGAATTATCTGGGGAGTTTAAAAAATACTCATGCTTGGGGACCTTTGTAAAATCCTTCAGGTGATTTTAAAGTGCAGCTGCAGTTATGGTAGGAGCCACTGATTTAAATGAATTTAAATTACTTGCCATGGTAAGAGAACAATGTAACATTTGCCAAGCAGTATGCTGTGTGGTCTTTTTCCTCTGTAAGAAAGTATAATTACCCGAATTATAGAATTCAGGTCTTCAATGATGGTCCTATTGATGAGAATTGCATCAGGGTACTGCAGAATTTGCTGGAAATTCTCCAGCTCTACTTGTCCTTGTTTGAGAAGAATTTGTATCGTCAAATTCAGCTGGTGTTTTGCTTTGTCTTCCTGTAATCTAAATTGAAAAACACTTCAGAGCAAGTAATTGTAATACATTTATACTTCAAATTTTACCTATTATCTGAGCATATAAAATTCAATGAGTTTGAGGAGGATGCCCTAGACCTTAGTGTAAAGAGTATTTCCCCGATGGTGAGTATTCTGAGGCCCTTCCAATATTTCTTCCTTCTGACCTGGAATTACAACTGGATTGTCCAGAGAATAGCATGGACAGAAATACATTCATAAAATGTCACTTAGGATGAAGAAAATATTGTACCCTTTTGATTCTTATTACAAATGAGGAAAACAGAGAGGCTGCCAAATATAAAGACTTAGAAGTTCTGACCTAATTTATTGATTCCTGATACTATATTAATAATAGTTCATTTCTATGCTACTTATCAAATCTATGTCTGGAAAACTCATATTCCTGCCTGCAGTCTGGATTGGAAAGTGAAGAACAATAACAAAATGGGGAGCACTTATTCACATGGCTATTTCAGGGCCTTTTGAAGCAAGGATTTGAAAAGAGGATCCACATCTCTGTAAGGAAGGACACGCTGCCCTAAAGAGACACATGTCGCTGGGAGGTGTCTGCATGGAAACTGCTTGGCCACCTGGCTGATTTTCCACGCAGCCTATAAGAGCCTGAGCCTCAGAGTACTTACTGCAGAGACAGGTCCTTTGTATTTTTTGGTGGAAGCGGCAGTTTTAAGAAACACTAAGCTTTTTCTAAAACTTGCTTCTTTGTATTAAGAGCAATGGGACGCGTGGCAAGCTCCCTCCTGAAACAAGTGTTACACAACAAAAGGTACTTTTCAGAATAGCCATTTCCAACAGAGGGCCGGACGGACCCAGCTGTGTGCCAGCTGTGTGCCAGCTGTGTGCCAGGTGACCAAGAGCGGCTCTCCCTGTGAGGACACAGCCTGCCTGGGAACCTGCCTAGGGAGAATCCGTGAAATAAAAGTAAAGTAAACGTGATTTTACTTTTTAGAATGTATTTCTAGAACTCTTGATGATTGTTATTTTTAATCACGAGGCAAGTACACCCGCATGGAAGTTTCCACTTACAGGATGAGTTCGTGGAACACTTTCTCGATCTCCTGTTGCACTTTCTCATCATCCTCAACTCTCTTCCGGAGAAAAGCCGTCATCTCCACTAAGCCAGTCGCTTTCTGCTTCACCTGAAGAAACCCAACCAGAAACATCTCAGCACAAGAGGAACTTCCGCTTTGGAAAGCAGACGTCTTTAGCTTTTTGTGCTACAAAACCTTACCAAGACTGTCTTCCTAAGATTTAATAAAATTTAAATCCCTGCCATTATGTAATAGCAAGTGTGTAAACTTTCATGGCACATTCATCCCATTAAAAATATGAAGAGTATCAAATGGCTTCTTGCTGAAAATCAACTATGCCTGCAACTAGTATCTTTTGTATTTTATTTTGAAATTTGTTCCCATCAACTTGCATACAATTATAAGTTCATAGATATGTGTACAAAAAATGTGTCAGCCTGAGGCATGTGGCACCAGGGTTAGGGCATTTGTGAAAGGGAGGGGCAAGTGGTCAGGGAGCAGAAAGAGAAGAGATTCTCTTCCCAATAAGCCTGTTTTCAACTTGTTACCCATTGCTACACTATTTTCTATTTCAGCGAAACTATAAGGTTGATTCTGATGAGCTAAATAGAATTTAAATCCATGCAGACTGAGATCATCTATGAGAAAGAAAGTTGTCTCATCTTGAAGAGAAATAGGCTGTGAACCCTAAATAAATTTTAACATTGTAGTAGTCTGTTATAAAAGTGAAATAAATGGATAAAGTTAATTTTATTACTATATTTTATTGAATATAATACATCCAGAATGTTACTTGTCAACCTACAATCAACACAAGAAATATTAGTGAGGCATTTTCCATTCCTTTTCTTATACTAAATCTTCTAAATCTGTGTGCCTTTTCCATTTACAGCACATCTCACTTAGGACTGACCACATCTGTTTCAAATGCACAATGACCACATGTCTCTATCGGCCTCTGCGATGGACGGTGTGGGTGCACAAGCACAGGCCTGCACTTTCATAGCACCAAAACTAATGCTTTATTCTGTTATTTGATTATTGACATTACTCACTACCTTAGCACAAAAACCTAAACAGTTATGATACACTGAACAGTGTAACTATATATTTGACATGAGTACACAAACAATAAAATAAAATTTTAGAAGATGACATTATATACTTTGTATTCATTTTCCACTTTTGCTCGTCTAGTTGTGCAGAAGTGATCCCAGACGGAGGGGTCCAAGCCTTCCGGCATGTTGTTAGCGCTGTCCAACTCTTCCATGGCTTTCATTAACTGGGCAAAGGGGTCCTTATTCAACTTGCCAGCTCCTGGCTGCTCTCCAAAAGGGACAGTACTGGCCGTATCTGCTTGTGTTTTCTGTTTCTGCATTCTGGTATTATCAAGAAAATCCCATTAACACATCATATTCTTAAAAATATCAGTGTTAGATAACAAGACCCTTAAGACAGGCACGACACACTGCACGGCAATTGCCTTCGGCGCTTGGATTGGCTGGGAGGTGGATTATTCCAAGGAGAGAAACACCTACTCTGTCCTTCTACACTGTCTAAGTCCCCAGACAGGACTGTTGGCCAGACTACAGACAGCCCTAACTGTTGCCAGCACTGGCCACTTTACCTGTCTAGGAGCTTCTGTGTGTTGTAAGCAGGCAGTAAACACCCCGGATGGTGTGTGTGCGTGTGTGTGTGTGTGTGTGTGTGTGTGTGTGTGTGGGTTGTTTATTCCTTGGGTCCATCTGCACATCCTCTGCTGGTATCCTTTTTGCAGTAGGATATGCCTAGGTGTCTTTGGGATTGGAGAAGTGTTTCTTTTTTTGTCTACATTAAAAGATTGGCTTTGCTGTCGTGAGCTGCAGCTGGGAAAGAAGAAAGGGCTCTCATCATGGAGGAGCTTTTTTCTGCACGGTGAGATCAGCATTGCTACCCTGTGCAGGACAGTCAGGGAGAAGCCGTGCCCACAACCGGCTCTGGGTCTGATAGCGGTGGCGTTACGGTTTATAGCTAATTCTGCTTGACAGCAAAGCTGTGTGTTCCTCACTGCTGCATCCCAGTATGCAGAAAGTCTCACTTCTTTCTTCACAAGCAAAAGCTGTCTATGCCTTTGGGCTTTTACTCCACACTCCTTTAAAAACAAGGAAATGAAGATGCCAGGCAGAAACTAAATTCCTTAGGCTGCACGGCACTTGTCAAAGGTCAGAGAGAGTTTTATCTGGGATGCAAATTACCCTACTCCTTTGTGACAACTATAATTTCTAGATTACATTTGATTAAAAATGTGCATTCATAATGTTAGAAATCAGCACAATATAATTCTGATACTACTTTCAGTAAAAAATTCTTTTTTTTTTTTTTTTTTTTTTTTTTTTTTTCCAGTACCGGGAATCAAACTCACGACCTTGTGCTTGCCAGGCAGGTGCTGTGCCGCTGAGCTAAACCCCAGCCCCTAAGAAATTCCTTTTAGAAAGTATTTCTAGAACTCTTGATGATTGTTATTTTCCAACATTTATACTGGCATTTTTCTTTTTTTTTTTTTTTTTTTTGGTTTTTCTCCGGTACCGGGAACCGAACTCACGACCTTGCGCTTGCCAGGCAGGTGCTTTGCCGCTGAGCTAAATCCCCAGCCCCGCTGAGCTACATCCCCAGCCCCATATACTGGCATTTTTCAAACTGAATTGAGCACAGTGATGTGAGCTACTCTAAGGAAAAGCAATTTATGTTCAAGTAAGTCTGGAAAACACTGCTAACTCTGTTTCTTGTACTCGGTGATCTAAAGGCCAAAAACAAGTTCCAAAAGGCCCTGTCTTACCCAATACCCAAAGTTAAAGCAGGAAAATCTTATTTAGCTCACAGTTTGTAGAGGTTTCGGTCCATAATCAGCTGGCTCTGAGGCAGGGTGACACACGACAGTCATGGTACCCACAAGTCAGCAAAAGCAACAAGGGAAAGACAAGACTCTTCCTATCCCTTACGTTGTATGCAGGCTGCCTGCCCTAGAGCAGGTGTAGCACTCACACCCTTAATCCTAGCCAGAACTATGCCAAACCAGTCAGTGGACTGATTTACTGATCATACACCCTTAATCCTAGCATCACACACTCTAGATTCTGCCATCTCTGAAAAAGCCCCATGGCCACATGAAGCTTTAGGGGGACCTGTAGACACAAACCATAACAGTAATGCTATTTAACTTTTTTTAAACCAGTATTTCCCCAAACTTACTGTGTCTTGGAAATCTATGACACATAAAACTGACTCATGCCTCAGGGACTCATTCATTAGAACACTTTTTGGGAAAAATTTTACACATCTGTATGCCATCTATGATTTAAGAGGAACTCCTGTTTCATAAGTAGAAATAATAATAGCACTATGCTAGATCCTCAAACATTTTTTTGTTTGTTTGTTCGTTTTTTGTTTTTCTTCTGGTACCAGGAATCGAACTCACGACCTTGTGCTTGCCAGGCAGGCGCTTTGCCGCTGAGCTAAATCCCTAGCCACCCCCCAGACATTTTTAAGTAATGATATAGTTACATTTCATACTCTACCTTAAGATATAGACAGTATAAAAATACTGTCTTTTAAAAGTACTGAATTATGATCAAGACAAACACCTCCACCTAAAAGATGTCACACATCAATTTTTACCTAATTGGGAGGAAAGTGAGACTTTATTTTTCATTTAAAGACTCTTTTCTTAGAGCATAATAGCCAAGTAAAAACAAACCTTGGTCGGCGTTTAAAAAGTTTATAGAGTATATCCACTTGTTGACTTGGAATTTCAGAAAATTCCTTTTTGAAGCTTCGATCCAGAACCTAAGGACAAATACATCAATGCCAGGATTGCAACTTTGCTCAGAAACAATACTCCTCAAGACAGGGCTGTACCACTTTAATTTAAGAAAAAAACATGAAAACTCCATTTATTAAATTGTTAGAGGTTGACCATTCATGGTGCAAAGACTTCTCAAAGATGTATTTTGAATAGCAAACACCTTAGTGTATCAAAAACATTATTCTATATAAGGTCTTGAAAATCATCCAGAAGTTTCTCCAAATAGTATTTACTCACAAAAAAATGCAAGTTAGTCTGTTCTTTTCCATTCTACTCCATTCCATTAAATTCCATTGCTCCCTACCCCTCAATTTCTGTCTTCATTATGGGATTCTGTCCTATAATCTTCTCCATCACAAACCTGCTGGCCGTACTTACTAAACTGATTTCACGACCATGGATTTTTCAGAAACATACAGTGGCATAGAATGACACCAACTCATAACTGAGAACCGTGGCCGGAAAGACATCTATGAGAAAATTAAGTTATATCCCACTCAACCCTCCCCCCAGTCCTGAGAGCAGCAACTCGATTGCATTGTCCAGTTGGTGGGACCACGACTCACTTTGTCTTCTGCCAATAGGTTGTCATAGTTCTCCTTGTATATATCGAGGTCTTCTTTAGATTTCTGGATTGCTTTTGAAGTCTGGTTCTATAATAATAGCAGGAAAAATGAACTGGAACTGGAGATTTTTAGGACAAACAAAAATAGGGGATTTTAAGATGAAGGAGTTTCCTGGTACAGGATAAATGGAGTAGCCATTACAGATATCAGAAGGAAGCACATTGGAGACTTGGGAAGGACAGGCATCTGACCAGGTAAGGGCAGCCAGCTCTGTGTGTGTGTGTCTGTGTCTAAGAGTACTCTGCACTCGTGCCAGGAGGTGTGGATGAGGAAAGCGTGGGCTTGGGAGTTGCATGGGCCTACCTGCGTTCGCAGGAACTGGAAGTACATATGGACGGGGGCTGCACCACAGACGAAAACCACTGTGACTCAGCCTCTGCAGCAACCAGCTGGGCAGCTGAACCACAGCGTTGGCATAACCGCCCATAAACTGTCTAGAGTTGGGCAGTCATTGCTTCTCTAAGTTTTGTCCCCCTTTCCAACTTAGGACTATCAAGGTCAACTATGTTCTCCAAAGCAGAAAGTTACCTGCTTCTAACTGGTTTGCCCATACCGACTGATTCCTTTCAGAGGGTTATCTCCTTCTCACTGCAAAGCTTGCCATCCCCCTGCCTGCCGGTGATGGTGGCTGCTTCCCACACCCGGCCAGGCTCTGAATAAACAGCCTCTGCATATTCTCTTTTCCCGCTGCTCCAGGTTCTGCTCTACGACCTAGTGGGTGACTTTGGTGTGTTACCCGGTCTGTCTGAGGTGGGATTCTCATCTGTGAGAGAAGTCTAGTACACCTGTCTGGGTTGTTATGAGGAGGGGTGTACCTAGAAGTTCTTTGCCTGTGCTGTTGAATAGACTCAGAAAAAAGTAAGTAGTTATGTCATTTATGATACTTTAAGTCATGCATTAATAAATGTCCCTTATTGATAAATAAAAGTAGCAAAAGCTGACATATGTTAAAAGCTTACATATGTTGTTATATAAGTTTTAATGAACTATACCTATTAATGTTTGTATTTAGATAGTTTTTTAGAATATGACGGTTTTTCATTCTATAAGCTAACCTATTGCTTCCATGTTTAGTAAAACTTAGGAGTTTCAAATGGTCCAGAAAAAACAATATTCCCTAAAGAATGCCATGGGAGCAGCTCCAGAGATTATGTACGTTGTGCAGGATCCTACCCACAGTCAGTCACTAGTTAAAAGCTGATGCTTTCTGCCGGGTAACTAGGAGGCTTCATTTTATAAACCACAAGTCTTAGGAAAGCTACAGTTTCACATTTGATTTGTTTTGTGGTACTAGTGACTGAGCCTAGGGAGGGCTGAGAGACACTTCCAGCCCTTTTTAAAAATTTGATTTTGAAGCAGGGTTTTGCTGTTGCCTGGGCTGTGCTTGAACTTGTGATCCTTCTGTCTCAGCTTCCCTAGCAGCTAGGATTACAGGCATATACCATCGCACCTGGCTATGCAGTTCTGTGGGCTAATGATTGCAGATGCAGAATCACATAACTTTGTTACTAGCTGGGGATGGGTATTTCCTGGCCCTGGAGCAAAGTCACAGAGAGGGAGCCAAGGGAGGTCCACGGTTGCATAGGAATGGCAGAAGGAAGGAGGGATCCGACTGCAGGAGCTCTTGTTAATGCAAACACAGATGCAGGAAAACCCTAGGAATCGGACGTCAGGCACTACACTTACTTTCTCCTCCTGCTTCTTTGAAAGATAGTTGTTCAGAAACATTTCTCTGGAGTTTAATTCTTCATCCAATAGTAAAGAAAAAACAAGGTTATTTATCTTCAATTCTTCCTGTAGAAATATGAAAGGAGGGGTGATTAATACTCCTACCTGAGAAACAATTTCTATCTATGATCATAGACTTGGTTCTAATCAGATAAGTTTATGATGTACAAATAAGATGTGATGGCACATATCCAGATGTCCCCCAAAGCCTCATGCACTGATAGGCGGGGCTTTTGGGAGGTGGCTGTGTCAAGCATGTGTGATACTGGGATTAAGTGTTGCGTGATAAGTAAATTAGTCTAGTGATGGATTTAGCATAGCTCTGGGTATCAGTAATGGAATCCCCACCCCGGGTGTGGGTGGCACCACCCAAAAGGTTTAGCCACCCAAAAGACTGGATGGGCTAAAAGGGAAAGGGAGGCTTGCTGCCTCCTGCCTGCTCTGCCATGGACTGTTTGTCCTCTGCAATGCCCCTCTGCCGTGCCACCCTGCCTTGGAGCCAATGAACTATGGGCCAACACCCCTACAAACTGTGAGCCAAAAATAAACCTTTCCTCCTTTAACTTATGGGTGTGAGGTATTTTGTCTCAACAATGAGAAAAGTAACTAAGACATAAGAGAAATCTTTTTTTTTTTTTGGAGGTGGGACTGAGAGTTCAATCCAGGGCCTCCCAAATGCTAGGCAAGCCCTCTACCATTGAGCTATGCCCCCAGCCCAAGAAAAATATATTAATGAAAAGGTGAATAGAGACTGTTGCTGTAACTATTGGGTTATTTTACCTTTTCATCATTTCATTGTAAGTTAAAGCACATATACAGAAAAGTAAATAACATGAATGTATAGTTTCATGAATTAGTATAAAGGCCAACAGCCTTGTTGTCACCACCCAGTTCAAGAAATAGAACTCTTTCTCTAGAGATGCTCCTTTCAGTTGTCCTGGATATCCACCAGAGTCTTTTTACAGTAACAACTTCCTATGTTTCTCTGTACCCATTTGCGTATACCTACCAGGCACCTGTGTATACCTATGGTGTACTTGTCCCTTAAAACCACTGTGGTCATGTCTCCTAAATCTCGCATAATCTCCATGTCTCCTATGCCTTGCTTTCCCTCCCAGCTGATTTATAGAAGCCAGTATTCTCTGATGTTTTGCCTACTCTGGGTTAAACCAACTCATAGTCATGGTGTGGCTCATCAGGCTCTTCATCCTTTGCATCGCCTAAAACTTGGCAGCTGGATCCAGAGGGCTGTTTAGGCCTAAGTTTGATCCTCTGTAGGGGATGTGCTCTTTGATCAGGGCACAGGGAATATCTGATTGTCTTTCTCTGACATGTGCAGCTGTGATGTCTATAACTCCATTGAGAATTGCACAATGAGAATAGTCTGTTTCAACTTTTCTTTTTAATTTATTAATGAAAACACTTTTATAAAAAGATGCTCTACTTCTCTACTGTCTGGTTACTTGTTGGTTCAGATCATGTAGGAAAGGCAGAATACGTACTGCATGCTTTCCTTTTATCAGTTGTAAATAGAGAATTCTTGTCACCCTCTGATGGTGACCAATTGGTATTTGCCTTTTGAAAATGTCAGATTCATGAATTTGAACAAATTCAGTGGGTTTCAACTAATCGTGATAACTGTATTATCATCGGTGAATCTTAAAAAAGTTTCTGCATTTAAAGATGGGTGGCTCCCTGGTCCTTTAGATGTAACCTCGCAGTCTGATACCTTCCTCATTATCTTGTACAAGATGTTCTAAGCTTATCTGTTTTCCTTAAATAAGAGCTTTATTGAGCTGTATTTCATATACCACACAGTTCACCATTTACAGTGTGTAATCCAGCAGGATTTTGTTATATGCAGAATTATATAATCATCACCACAATCAATTTCACAAAACTGCGGGAAAAAAAACCCATTAGCAGCCATTTCCCATCTTCCTGGCATTTCCCAGAACCTCTTCTGGCGGGAAGAGGAAGTGTGGCCAGCCAAGGGGAGGGCACAACACAGTCCCTGGGGTGGGGCGCACGGGGATCTGCACACAGGCGAGCTGTTGGCATTACCAGGAACCGTGGCAGGCCCCGGAGTCTCCCTGAAAGAACAGGTCACACAGGCAACCGTTGTTTACCTGGTTGACAACCATCTCTGCCTTCACTCTCCTTTCAAAGAGTCTTTTCAAATGTTCGTCAAAGTTCTGTGTGCTTTCCTGAATAATGTTTTGAAGTTTCTTCAATTCTGCTTCTAAGGACTGAAAGGAATGTTAACATTTAGAAATATTAAAAGCAAGTGCAGAGCTGGTGTTTGCATTTTGCCAAAAGGAAGGAACAGTGGGAAGGGAGACCTTATTGGTGTTGTGGTCCAGAGATGTCCCACTTGGATTTGTCTAAGGGACGGTACATCTGAGATTTTTGCTTTTAAAGGTTACATTGAATGCCAGTCATGGTAGCACATGCCTATAATTCCAGCACTTGGGAGGCTGAGGCAGGAGGATTGCCATGAGTTTGGGGCCAACCTAGGCTACATAGTGTATTCTAGTCCAGCCTGAACTACACAGTGGGATTCTGCCTCAAAAAAAGATTACGTTGGAAATGGGGGTTAAAAGTCACTAGCCATGGCTAATGATGCAGCCAGCAGTATACCAGTTTCTATATTTAATTTTTCTGTGGTGTTTGGGGTTGAACCTAGGGCCATCTCACTGACCTTACTCCTTTTTTTGTTGTTCATTTTGAGCCAAGATCTCACTCAGTGATGAAGTTGCCCAGGCAGTGCTTGAACTTGGGATCTTCTCTCTTATGCACCACCACATCCAGCTTTAATTTTTTATGTCAGTAAAAATTAACCCAGGGTTAGGGAACAAGGTGGAAGTAAGACATGAAACGAGACTGGCCTCGAGGAAGCAACTGCTGGAACTGGACGAGGCGGCTGTTTTTCTGTTCTCCATTCTCTACAATTTTTTTTTTTTTTTTTTTTTTTTTTTTTGAGACGGTCTCACTGTAGTTTAGGCCAGCTTTGAACTTGCTCTGTGGTCCAGACTGACCTCAAACTCACTATCCCACTGCTTCTCAAGTGGTGGGTTGACAGGTATGCACCTTCTAGTCTCTTTCATATATGCTGGGCATTTTTCAGAATAAGAATTTTTATGTGAGCTAAAAGATGCTGCAAACAGTGAATGTGGATTTTTTTTTTTTCAGTTTTGCTGTGAAGACGAAGCGGAGACATTGAGGAGTAGACCAGGAGGGAAGTGGGGCCAAGGGAACTGTTTTTGTTTTTGTTTTGTTTTCCTTTTTATTTGGAAACAAGCTCAGTCTAACTGAAAAGCCGCAAGGATACTAAGAAGAACTCTAATGTCCCCATCAGGGGAGTTTTGAAATGAGAAGTATGACGTTACAGCACGTGTCTGTGCTGGCAGGGAAGCATCCACCGAGAAGGAAGCAAGGGGGTGCAGAGAGCGCGGTGCCGGCCGCCTTTCCTCCCCTGCACTCGGTGTGTGTGTGTGGGGGGCTCGATGTCGGGGTAGGGAAGGGAGAAAATGTCTTCTAGCTGCTCCTGTCCTCCTGATGAAATAGAAAATAGGGCCAGAGTGAGTTGAGGGGTTCAAGAAGACCAAGGGAAGGTGTGACCTGAACTCCAGGATCCTGGCCCCGCATGGCCCCAGCCCACACCCGGGAGCTTGTTAGATGGGTTAGATGTGCAGTCTCGGGCCCCTTCTGTTTCCCAGATGCAGAACTAGGAAGAGCCTGGAATCTGAGTGTGCGTGTGGAAGAGGCTCCCCGGGCTGTGAGGATTCGCGGCCCTTGTGAGAGCGCTGTGCGAGGTGAAAGCAGGATGGCAAGAACCCAGTCGAGATCAAAGGCAAGGATTGAGGCCGAGGGCAGGACAGGAGTGTTTTTTCCTCACCCACTGCCTGAGCGCAGGTGCAGAAGAGACAGCGTACACGGAATACAATCGAGGCCGGGGCCCCAGGAGGAGTGTGAGGGAAATGAGGGTGCCGGTGGGAAACCTTTTTACAACACAAAGGCCTGGGGTGAATGCCCTTGGATGGTCCCCACCCTTTTCTTCCTTAGGCATCTGGGCTTCCTAACTGCTTAAAAATCTGTACTTCTTCCTGGAGCGCTTGTTTTGGCTTGTAGGTGAGCACTATCTCAGGCAAGGGAAAGCTGCAGTGAATAAAAACGTGAATGATTAAGGACAGGCTCAAAGAAGTTGGTCATGAGTTACGGGCACCATAAAGCTGGCAGGCCATTCTGCCTCAAATGATGGCGTGATTTTCCTTCCTTTGTGGAAGAATAAATAAATATTGTTTGCTTGGCTACACGCCTTCACCTTTCACATAGGCAATTTCATGCAAGAACGTTTCTCTGTGATGGAAGAAGATTAAAAAATAGCAGAACTGCATTGCAAAAACCTCAAGAGCTGTAAAGCATGTGCTTCCGGATGGCATCTTTCTTTCCTGGGATCCTTTCTTACGGTACAGCACAGATCAATTGTTACCGACCTCAAATATCTGTAGACGAGACAGAGCCATGCCTGCAGTGATTTGCACATGCTATTACATAGATAGTTGAGTTGGGCAGAAATGAATATTCAGTCAGAGAGGGACTGGGCTCTTGAGGGAGTCAGTGAAGAAGATGAAGATATCAAAGTTGTGTCTAGAGGCGAATCTGGTGAGGACCAGGCCTCAAGATGGAGACCCAGAGCCAGGCCTACAAGCCTCCCTACCGAGAAACAATAGCTTGAGGTCGTGTGCGACTAGTGCCACCTGGTCCCATGAACCCAGATAGGCATTGGGTGCATAGGTGGGTGACCAGAACGTCTGGACCCATGCTCCCATCCCTTTCCAGGGATGTCATTTTTCCTTCTCTATTTGAAGGTAGATATAAGCTAAGGTTCAGGATGCCTACCACATACCCTTGCTACATGCCTCACTTCCCTATTGGGCCAATATTAGCTACGTGAATACACTTGTAATCCTACTGGTTGATTATAGTTTGACCCACATTGTATCCATGTTGTGATTGGGCTGCATTAAATATCCTTTGAGAATGAGCTTGTGCACCAACACACTTCCGGGACCTCCTGTCTCTCAAGAGCTTCCTCTCAGCAAACCTTCCCTGCTCGTAATCTCTTTTTCCTCCAAATTCATTCTCTGACATTCAGGAGTCATGACCGCCACACATCTGACATCTAACAGGCCGCGAGCTACTTTTCTCTGTCACAGGATAATACGACAGGTGCTCATTAGACATCTGAAGAATGAATGGCTGTGGTGGAAATGTTGAAATCAATAACAACTTTTTAGAAAATGCTTGCTATATGCCCTTTCATTTTAAATTGTTGTAGCTCTTTAAATTTATCTCCCTTACCTCTCTAAATTCTCTTGAGAATTTAAGTTTAAACATTATCTTAAACTATTACAGACATCGAGGAAAGTTACAAAAACGTTTAAAAATATATTGAAATAAAACCCCGGCTGTGACGAGCCATCAGTGTTTGCTCTTTGACCTTTCTGTACTTGTCTCTTTCTTCATTTAGCTCCTTGACTTTTTTCTCATATTCTCTGAATTGTTTCCTTTCCTCTTCTGTCCACACAGCGTCGGGCTTTGCCATGAAAGCTGGTTGCGGAATGACCTGAAGACAGAAGGAAAGGTTGACCTCGAGCTCAAGCACAGATGCACGGTATGATAAACGCTCAAGGTACGATCCCAGTTTAAACACCAGAAGCACTCCCTGAGGCCTCAGCTCCTCGAACTGGCAAGGACAATAACGTGGCACGGTGACTCAGGTCTGTGGATCTCAGGGAGGGCGGGTAGCCAGGGATGCACCCTGATGCTCGAATGACAGAGTCGGCTGTGTGTTGGCGTCTTTATATCCAGAACTATACCAACGCCCCAGGGACAGCTGTGCCAAGGGTCAGAGACAACCTTTGCTGGTGCCTCTGGACAACGACAGACAAAGCCGCAGCCCTGCCTCTGGGAAAAAACGGAACCCTCTGTGGCTGCCCGCACTGGCTTGTTTGCTTTAGGTGAGAATGGGAGGTACATATTATTCTCTTTTTTTTTTAAATTTTTATTTTAAAGAGAAAAAGGATAAACAAACAATGAAACAGAGTTTCAAAACAGGTTAGCAGGAGTTACATATCGTCTTCGTAGTGGTTAATCAGAGTACGAGATATAGGCATGATATCCTGGCTAAACAGTAGTAGCACAAAACATTCTTTTCAAGGAACTAAGAGAAGCTAGCTGTAGAACTCTTTTAACTATCTTGTGTATACACATATGTATTTTTTTCTTTTTCCCTTTCTGATTTGCCTACTGGGCTATGCTTCTAAGGTGTCCGAAGTTTCTCTAATACTTGCTGCAATAGAATTTCTAAAACTAACGTTCCTAGAGGAAAAGGTGGCAAACTTGCACGCCGGTCCCCCCAGCACCCCGCTCACCGGCTGGCGGAAAGCTCACCATTCTCAGGATGTCCTCCTTCTTGACCTCCAGCACACCGCCCATCATGTCCATCAGGCCTCGGCGTCTGGCACCTGAGCCCTGGAGAGAGCCAGGAGCAGAGAGGGCAGCTGAGACAGCGATCCGCACCGCGGCGGCCTCTGCCCGACGTTAGAATGAGCACGTTTAGGGTCGGGGAAGGTGGCAGCGGTGCGGAAGACAGAACAGAGGGAACTCTGGGCTGTGACAAACGTCTGGCGTGGTTTTCATGTGGAGCACGAGCATCCCTAAAGGAAAGAGGGTGCCGGGTGCAGTCTGAGCGAAACCGCGTACCCGCGCCTTAATCCACCGGCGTAGCTCGCGGATCACAATCATTTCTGCTTTGGCTCTTTGCCACGTATCAAAATGTCTTGGGGCTGTAACCTGCAAGAGAAAATGTAGGTGCCTGCTGTGTTTCTCCCAAAATTCAGACCAAACTTTCCTTCCACATAGCGAGAGGCAGCTAGGTGGCATTAAAGGGGTTAGAGGGACAGTGCAGGGTTTGCAATCGATTCTCTGATTTGGAATGAACGTGAGGTCAAAACTGAGGGGGCTGGAAAATCGGACCTTTACTTCTCTGTTAGCTCTCAAAGCTTTTCTTATCAGGGGGTTTGATTTAGGTGAAGATGGAAGGGAAGCGGGCCCACAGAGGTGTTCCCTACACTATATCGTGAAGGATGCCGCGCTTAGGAGGGCAGGAGCTTGAGGCATTCAAGGACCGGGGAGCACACCAGTGTGAGCAGGCAGAGGGAGAGCAGGCTGGTGGGAAGAGGTGAGTGGTCCATGAGCTGCCACTGCAAAGGGTTGGGCAGGGCAAGGCCACCAGGGGTTTGGCTTGCCACGAGGCCCCTTTCCTGAGCGTAGGATGGATGCTCGCCCAAAGAGAAGCAGGCTTGAGGAGTTCGCTACACACAGACAAAGTGACCACAGTGAGCCGGCCCCTAAGCCGGCCAGACTTCAGCTCTGTCCCTAGTGAGAAACCTGTGGTCCAGTACTTACTAACCTCCCTGTAGCTCACTTTCTAGTGGTTAATCAGAGTATGAGATACTCCCTGTATCTCACTTCCTAGTGAGATATGAGATATAGATATAATCAGAGTATGAGATATAGGCATGATATCCAGCTAAACAATAGTAGCACAAAACATTCCTTTCAAGGAACTAAGAGAAGCTAGCTGTAAAGCTGTTTTAACTATCTTGTGTATACATATATCGGTGGGTAGAGGAGATGTTCCCACCCACCCTACAAGGTTGTATCATTATAAATGTATCCCAGTCTATCTATGGCGCTTTGAATGGTGCCTAGAATCTCACAGGAGCTATAAAAATATTTGCTCTTGCTTCTCAATATCACTATTAGCTTTTGTCCCAAAATAATTAAGTTGGTTGCATGTGAACAAGAGTTTTCCTTTGGGTATTCTCTAGCATTTCTTTTTACTTTTAATAAATGAAATACAGTCATATTTTGTTTCTTTAAGCATCTATTATTATTATTATTATTATTATTTATTGCTGCTGCCTGTGTGCTACTACTTTAAGAAGTGAAGGGGCTGCCCAGCAAGCCTCCTTTCCTTGGGATCTGTCCTGTGCGATGACCTAGGTCAGTGCTGGTGAACCTAGGGCATGCACGCCACAGCCATCTGTTTGTTACTGAAAACGTTAAAGATCTGCCATCACTGACCTAGGTAGTTACTGGAACTCCGTCAGCCTCATTCCTATAGTGTGATGCACCCCGGGTACAGGCCCTGGATATACTGGGCCAAGGAGCCTTTTCCCGGGCAAACTCGGAAGTGGGACTAAGCACTTCTAATGCAAACCAGCCGCTCTCTTGAGTGGAAGAGACAGGAAGTAGAAATTACTAGAGAAAGCTAAAATCGCAGAGAAGTGAGCTCAGAGCTGAAGGAAGAGGGCTTCTAACTCCTCTCAGGGAGCCAGTCTTGGGATCCTGCTTCTTCTCAGGCTTAATGTCCAAACATCCCCTGACTTTGTGGGATTTGGGGGAAAAAATCCTCACCACTACTGGGGTTATGCCACCTGTTTCTGTAACCTGTTCCCGAGAGTAGCACCCGATATAGTCATCCCCACAGTGTACACAAAAAGAAGTGTGGGAAATCCCGGAGAGAGGAGGAGCTAACCAGGCTGGCCGTACCTCAGAATTGTCTACTATAAGGGTATTTTCTGGCTTCTCGCAGTCTTCAAATTCTGGTTGCCAGATGTTTTCTCCCAACTCCAGATCTGAAATAATTTCTTTAATTCTGACATTTTTTTCCTTCACTCTTGAAAGTTCAAACTCTTTTTGTTTATATGCAGCATCAAACTCATTATTGAAAGCAGTTTTTACTTTGAAAATGATATCCTGAAACATCAATAGGTTACCTAAAACACATGTTTCTACCGGCAACCTGATCCCTCTGCTACACTTTTCTTTCAGGATCAGTCTAGGAATTATCTTCTAAGGAGAAGATCTAATCACCCTGGAACAATGTTTATATTCAGCTACTTTGTGTGTTGACGATCTACAGTGGCATCCGGCTGTGGTAGGACTCGGGCCACAGTGCACCTGTTATACCAGACCCCACTTCTGAAATTAAATTGTAATTCAGCCTACAAGTGTGACTGTGAATGTGGGCGTGGGTGCTGGGTATTTGTGGGCTCACTGGGCAGTTTGCTCTATTTTTATGTATGGTCTAAAAAATCCATTATAAATATTATAAAGCAATAAACAAGGTTGAAGTTGGGAAGCAACTTCTCTTGCAACCTTGCTGGGGGAGACATGGAGAGGAAGAGAGGGCTGGGAGGACCTTGCAGAGAAGCATCACCATACACAGCATCCTTCCTGTGTGGTGTCATCCCGAGGTAGCCAGCTGGATGGGCCAACTCCTAAGGTGACAGTTAGTTCACGCGGATTGCCTCCTACTCTTTCTAATGGCTCAACTCAAAGTTGCTTTCACATCACCATCAGAGTTCAGTCTATGTACATTAGGCTGGAGAAATGATCTTAACATCTAGCACCAGAATCTCTCTTGGGCTGAAATTACCTCCTTGTAGGAAAGCATCTTAATAAAGCAGCAGGAAACTGAGCCCCTGGAGCATGGGTCAGCAGAAGCTAAGCAACAAAAGATAACTAAACAGTTAACCAAAATTTCAAGGGCTGGAGGAGGAGAAGAAGGGGTCAGGACGGGAAGCCAGAGCTGAGGAACACAGCAGGAAGCTAGAACTCAAATTGCAGACATGGCTGAAGGACTTACAGAAATAACTAGTCTTAAATTTCAAACGGTGTACAGTCTCCATCATGGCATTTTTGAAACCCTTTGGTAGGGTCTTCTACATATACAGATGTGTTCTGTGACCAACTTGTTTGGTGGACAGTAAAGAGTAGGAGCTTAGAGCCAGAGGGACCTCACACTTTGGTCCAGAACCCGAAAATTTACAGAAACTTTAAGAGAGGAAATTTCTCTGGGTTAAGCAGATAGATAAGCAATAACATCTTGACCTCACAAGAGGTCCAGTGATGCCTGGGTTACTCAGCACATACAAGTGAAAAGTTTCTTTGAGCGGACCAAAGATCTAAGCAGAGGAATGGTTTATGGTGTGAGCCAGGATAGAATGTCCTTTAGAAAACTTGCTATCACAGAACCCAGTTCCAATGGATCAAAACAACTCTTGTGCTCAAGTTCTAATGAACATGGAGTTAAACATCTGCATAGTTCTCTGTGCACTTCACAGGCATTCGGTTGGCAATAGGTTTCAGTGGGAGCTCTCGCAAGACATTTTAGGGAGGGTTTCAGAGATTATTGAGGATAAAGAAGTTCACCCACTTTCAATAATATAATTTGGTTGATTTTCTCCTCTCTGGAATGAAGTTCCAGCTGGCTTGACAACAAAGAAGCATCTACCCCGAAGTCAGTACTCAGACTACCAAGCAAGTAATTGGGCAAGTTGGTGGCTGTGACTATCTTTTCTTCATCCTCCTCTTCATCATCCTCTTCTTGGTGGTTTTTTACCAAGGTGACTGCAGACTGATCCTCTACAATTTCCTTCCGTAGCTAAATACAGAAAAAAGATGCTATGGAAGTTATGTAATAATAAGAGATTTCCAAAGGACAATTTTGGGACAACTTAAACATTTCAACAATTATCTTAAGAGTGTCTATTGTCTTGCTAGCAACACAATTCAAAGTGATGCACAGGTCCTGAAAGTGTCACAGAAGAGATTAAACCTTTGGAGACCGATAAACCATGGGCGAATCAAAATAATAAAAGGGGCCTTGATAGCACATAACATTTATATTGTTGTGTCAGGATGATACCTGCTTATAAATATTTTGAGTCTCTCCTGATATTTAAGCATATATCTTCTTTTCATATTTTACAGAGGAACTTGTCCAGTGGGTCTGGAAGGTATAGCTGAAGATTTAAGTATGCCTTTATTCTATGTTCCTAAAGAAGAGCGGCTGCAAAGTTCTAGTCAAAAAATACTACTCCAAAGGGTGAGGGTTATTTCACCCATTTGACAGAGATTGTTGTTTTACAAGAAGATCTGGGATTACTTTAGGGAAACCATAATCTTATCAAGCTACTCTTTGGTTAATTATCTTAACACACAGTCACTAGTACTAAAGGAAGATAAAAAGGGCATGTGGATAAAAAGTCTCTGAGCAGAATATGAACAAAATCCCAAATCTCATTTTTAGGAGCATATCCTCGTATTTGAGGGCAGGCCAGTGTTGTATAAGGCATAGGGTCCTTGGTTTCTTTTATAGACACAGCCTCCTATATTCATTACAATATATTCTACAAATTAGCAAGAAGTAAAAACAAATATATAATATGCATGTGTACATTAAATTGCATCATGCTTCAAATCTGTATAAGAGACCTTAAGATACATCACCTCACTTATATAAACATATACACACAAGCACGCACATTCATGCACACACAGAGAGGTATTGGAGACTGAACCCATGGCCTTCACACTGAGCTACATCCCCAGCCTGTTTTTTATTTTGAAACAGGATCTTTTTATGCTGTTAAGTTGCCCAGGCTGGGCTCAGACTTGCAATTCTCCTGACTCAGCCTCCCAGAATGCCAGGATTACAGACTCATGCCCCTGGGCCCAGCCACACACACACACACACACACACTCACACACACATCACGCATTTAAATTATACTTTAAGACACTCTGCTTCAATCTTCTTTTGCTGCAACACTCTCTTCAGCTCCTTCAGCTCTGCTGCTGTGCGCGCCTTCATGGGGAAGTTCTCAACCACACAGGGGATGTGAAAGCACTTCGGGAAAAGAGCAAGACGAAACACTTACTCAGATCAACCCATGTATTATTGTGCCAGCAACGACACTGACAATGGAAACCCTTAAAATGAAACGATGTATGCCATCATTACTGATATAAACTTGGTATAAAGTACTGTGCTTTTGGGATGGGTTTGGAGTACTTTTGTCCTCCTTCCCTGTCCCCCTACACTGGCATTGCCTGAAACATTTTTTAGATGGTTTCTACCTGGGATGTGGGATGTCACTGGCCAATAGACAGGTGCTGGGAGTTGCTAAACACCCCACAATGAATAAGACAGCCCCAAATGCGCCTCTCTTGGGAAACCCTGTGCTCAGCAACACTCAACTATGTAATGATAGGGTGACCACGGACCTTACTATCCCAGTGGGGTGGCATATCTGAGAATGAAAGAGGTGCTGTTAATAGATATAGGAATAAACTGAGACTTTTAGAGGGTCTACTCTAAATGAGGTGCTGTGTGTGTGTTTGTGGGGTGGTTGGAACATTTAATGTGTAAATAATTAAGTATTCTCAGTTCAACAGTTTGCCCAAAGACCTGGTCTTAAAGTGAAACCCAATAATCCTTGGTTCTTAGGACCCTCTCCAGAAACTGTTTTTACCTTTCACTTTGTTGGCAGGATGGTTAGGAAACTAGCTGATTGGAACACCCAGGAAGAGAAGCCACTGCATTGAGTCTTCCCGCTTTGTCAGAGAAGTCTGACATCCGTACTGGGATAAAAACAGCCCCTGGGAAAATGTGAAGGCTGGCAAAGGCAGACAACATTTTGTCATCTTCCATTCATGTGGACTGGAAGAGTGGAGTGGGCTTTTGGAGTAACAAGGATTAAGACCCGGATGCTGGGAATGTCTCAGTGGAAAGAGGAACAAGGCTACTGAGACCTAAGAATGCTGGCTGGACAGACCTGGGGCCTTAGCAGAGGAAAGAGTGAATCCAGGGAACCTGGCCATCTAGAGGGAATTCAGTCTAGCAAGAGACAAGGCGTGCTTTGAGTGCTTTGCTGTATGTGAATCCTCCTTAAAGTTGTTTCCTTTGTCTTTGTTTTATGCCAGGACTCTTAATGAAATTTCTCAGCTAAGATTCTGTACTTGAGATTCGTCTGTTACCTTAAGGGCCCGGCCCTTCACAGCCATGGAATTCCAGCATTCTTCTTTGATAAGGTTAGTCAAATATCTCTTGGCTAGGTTATGCATTTCCACGTCCTTTCTTATCTTCAAGGTCAGACGTGAAGGACAAAGATAAAATACAAACATGGCCTCTTAGAAAAAGTCATCTCATGGTAAACCCCTAACTAGTTGTAGCTGCACCCAGAACAGCAGAGCTTGAGGTGAAGGTCTGGGGCTTCAACTCCTGCCATAAGATCGAGCTGTCCACACCAATGCCTCTGAGGGTGGCGGGGGTGCTGTGAGGAAGGAAGGCTGGGTGGGGGGCTGGGTGACTGATGTGGTACTCACAGACCACGCCCACCAGAACGCCCAGGAAGAGAAGCCACCGCACTGAGTCTTCCTGCTTTGTCAGAGAAGTCTGACATTCGTATTTATATGTGAAATGCTGGATACCTAGACGCTGGTTTCTTGTCAACACATATCTGAAGAGCTCCTTTGTGACTTTTACCTAGGCCACTTAGCTATAATCCCCCTATTATTCATGACCACAATATAAAAGAATATCCCATTACTTTAGGGAGTCAGATAGCTTACCTTTTTCCACTTAGAAACACATGCATTAGGTCAGTTAGTTGTATCTGCTTCTATCACTTACTGTGTAAATAATTAAGTATTCTCAGTTTAACGGTTTGCCCAAAGACTGGTCTTAAAGTGAAACCCAGTAATCCTTGGTTCTTAGTATCCTCTCCAGAAACTGTTTTCACATTTCACTTTGTTGGCAGGATGGTTAGGAAACTAGCTAAGAACGGTATCACTCAGATTTTTAATCACCCAACAGTTTACTCCGAGTGTCACTCCAGCCGTGCGCTCGTTTAGGTACTGACTACCCTGAGTGTCACTCGGGCAGGTGTCGCTTCAACTGGTCGATGCTTGTACTGAATAAATTTAATAACATTGTCATTTTTATATTTCTTGGTATATTGTCTTATAAAATTAATGAAAAAATATGCAAAGTTTGGTCATCCTGTATTTAAATGACGGGGCTGGTAAGTGGTTAAATGCTTGCATTGTTTTAAAAATTTCTATGAATTGTATTGTCTGATCAGATGACTGTTTAAATCGCTGTTTATTTCTTCTTGCTTCTGACCCATTAAGCTAAAGGCAGATACAGCTGTGCTGGACATCAGCTGTCAGCGCTGCCAGGGCCCCGGGCCCGCTCAGCCCGCCTCTGTCCACTGCAGAGGCTCTTGGATTAGCTACTCCAGACGCGGTGCCCAGCACCGGGTCCAGATGCTCATGACCGGGCTCTGGTCTCCTCTGTGTTACTGAGGCCCTGGCTAGGGTTGGCTCATGGCCTGGTTGCTGTAGGGTCGGGATGCCTGACTGGCAGGCCCACCAGCTTCCCGGGACTGGCGTTCTGCCCCACACAAGCTGACAGCCAGCTGGGTTCACGATGCCCCCAGCACTGTTCTCCTATGGCTCCCTACCAAGCCCTGCTGTCTCCTCAAAAGCCGGAGCTCAGGAGAAATAAAGAGCATGAGGGAAACTAACACAGGCAGAGCCTTTCTCTTCACTGAGTTTTTATGTCTTCTGTTATGACTCTGTAGTGTTTAAGTGAAATAGTTCCGTACCTTTGCTACCTCTTCTTCACTTTGATTCTGAAGCCTGTCCAGTTCCTCGAGATCCAGGCAAAATTCCTGTTGGTCTAGCTTTGCGATGTCATCCACTTTTTCGTTCTCTTCCATCATACTCACGACCTGAATGTTGAAATAAGAAAGGAAGATAACAAGTCAAGAGCTAAACCCGAAATAAACGGTTTTCTTAGATGCTTTAGACAGCAATCAATGAAAAATAAACTTTCTGCTTATCTTAATGTACTACTGGATGAAGAATCAGATTATAGGGTTATGGTGGTTACTGAACTTTTAACATTTGATCTTTGAAAATTTAAACTCATTCATGTAATTAAAAGTCAACAAAAATATATTCGCTCACCTCAAGCTGATTTTAAAATTCAAATGTAAAAGTAAATATGGATTAAAAAGTCAAAAATTTTTGGAAAGAGGAAAGCAAAGGGAGAATTACTCTCAAGAGACTAAAAGCACAAAGCTATAACAATTTAAGGTTTTGGTATTAGCTCAGGAAAAGATTAATACTCAAATCCTGTATACCTGGAGTCCAGGGATTGACAGGGGAAGTGCACATCGTACAGCAAGAAGGTCTATTTGGTTAGAAAGCTTTGAAAAGATCAAGTTAGATGGAGGCCTCATATCATTTACAAAAATACATTACTGGAGTTATTAAAGGAGTAGCAGAAGAAAATATGTGTGACTTTGGAAGGCTTTTTTGTTTTGTTTTTGAGACAGGGCCTTTGCTATCTTTCCCAGACTGATCTCAAACTATTGGGCTCAAGGAATCCTCCTGCCTCAGCCACCTGCATAGCCAGGACTATCCATATGCATCACTGCACCCAATGTTTGGAAGGGCTTTTAAAATCATACACAAAAAGCAAAAACTACACAAACAAAGATTAATACACCTAGCATAATTTTAGAATTGTGCACTCAAAAAGACACATTAGAGAAAGTTAAGAGACAAGACAGAAGTATTTTTGCCGGTTGAACTGTATATTTTTATAGAAAATATTTGTAGGTTAAATCAGGTAAAATAGCAATTTTATGCAGTTCAACCCCACCGTGAAGACCACTCCTGGGTTTGCCCCTTGTGCCCCTCCAGGCTGTGTTCCCTTTTTACCACTGGCCAGGCACCACGTGTGGCCGCCTTGGAAGCCACAGCACTGAGGACAGCGGGAACAGATGCCAACCTGAACGCCCACCTAGGGTGGATGAAATACTCTTCTTGTCCCAACACCAGGGGCCTTTTGAGTTTGTTACCACAGAGTAGCTAACCTTAATTATCATAAATAAATTTAAATTTAAAAGAAAAATAAAGAACTCCCACAATCTAGAAGAAAAGACAAGCAACCTAATAGCAAAACTGGCAGAGGATATGCCCAGAGAATTCTCAGGAGAGGAAATACCAACAGTCTTTATAGAGTTATGTAAAGCTGCTGAACCTGATTAGTAATCAGGAAAATAAAAACAAAGGGGTGGAAATTACCAAGCCAAATTTAACAACATTTTCTTGAACCGAAAGACAAAGTTTTCCTATTTTGAGAGCTATCCGATGTCTAACACATGATGAGGGAAAAACACCTAGGGTCATGGTAGGAAACAAGCGACACATTCAAGCGGAAAAGTTGAAGGGAGGAACTTTTTTAGGAAGATTTGGCGGGGTAAGGAAGACCAGCAGAGCGTGCGAAGGCGTCTTGGGCTGGCAATTGTGGGAAGCGGCCACACTCCTTGGTCTGGAGAGGGAGGGCTGAGAGTAGGGACTGGAGGCTGGGGCACTATGGGACAGGGCTGGAGTCACTGCCAGCGCACAAACAACGAGCAAGCGGGTTTGGGGGAGAGCCTGACTAATCTCCTGCCCTCTGATCTCCTGCACCTGCCACTCCTTGTTGCTTCCCAAGCAGAAGCCGGAAAGCAAGAAAGTCTATTGTTGCTGTCCACAAAGACCAGCCTCTGGGGGCTCAGAGCACAGGGGGAGAAGGGGCGAGTACAATTTCACAGCTACCGAAAAATATCCATCAAATGCATTGAGATGCATAACTGTGAAGCTTCCAAACATCAGAGACAGAGACAGAGACACAGAGAGACAGAGAGACGAAGAGACAGACAGAGACACAGAGACAGAGACACAGAGAGATAGAGACAGAGAGAGACAGAGAGACAGAGACAGAGACACAGAGAGAGGCAGAGACAGACAGCCTGTGAGTTTCCGGAGATAAAAATCTAGCTATCTGCAAAGAATTGGGAATCAGAAAGGCACTAGATTCTCTAAAGCAGACACTGCAAACCAGAAGACAATGGGCCACGCTTTCAAAATTCTAAGGGGAAATCACTGTATTCCTGGGCAAACCATCAAAGGGCTGTGAAAATAGGATAAAGACATTTTTCAGAAATGCACCTCCCCTGAGTACATTCTCAAGGGCAGAGCCAAACTTGCACAACTCTCCACAGCAGGCTCATTCACGATGGAAAACCTCTGAATGGCATCCCAGAAGTGCAGCTCCGTCTTAAAGGTTGCTCCCAAACAGGGGCCGCTACGGCAGTCTTGTTGAGATAGCTACCGGAAAAAGCAGGCCAAGAAAACAAAGAAAAACAGAGGGGGAAGATGATAGCATGCTTAGGAAGATTGACAAGAGAAGCTGCTAGGAAAGCGCCATATGTCAGCATAGAGAGCAAGGTGCTTAGGCTGGAGATGGAAGATGGAAAGCCCTAGAAGGGAGGCCACAAAAGCAAGAAACAAAATGAAACAAAATCACCGAGCTGGGCTTGGTGGCACATGCCTATAATCTCAGCAATTGGCAGGAGGATTGCCACAAATTAGAGGCCAGCTGGGGCTACAAAGTGAGTTGAGGACCAGCCTGAACTACATAGTAAGTCCCTATTTCAAACAAACAAACAAACAAATAAACACCAAAAACCAAAATCACTGACAGATTGACTACCTCAAGAATCTAATCATATTGAAAAGACTGCTCTACCATTTGGAGATTTTGAGTAGGTAATAGATATGTAGAAAGGTGTAATCCAAAACAAAGGCAATCACTAACTCCAAGAATAATAAAGTTGTAAAACTGACATAGGAGATTAGGGCATGGTAAAGCTGGCTGGGGAAGGAGGCATGACCTGTTAATTACAAGATCCTGGAACACATGCACAGAACTTATTACATATTACAAAGTCTGTATTTGGCAATTCTTTCCTTTGTATACACAAGAACCTGGCCTATTTTTGGCCCACTCAGTGTAGCAGGCATGTGTGTAAGATTTGTCAGTCTTTTTCTGGGTATTTCTTACTGCATTTTGCTATGGAAGGGGGAAGTATTTTTTTTATTGGGAGGGCTGGTTTTTGACATATTTTCTAGGCTTGTATAACTAGTTGACCTTAAAATGGAATCTCTTATCTATAAATAATTTCTGAGCCAGTTAATAAGTTTTTTCTAAGTGGAAAGCCTGGTGAAGAGTTTTAATGATTTCTTTTTATTGTCTGGCTATAAGAATAAGTAGCACTGGGAAGGAAGGAGTTGATATTTCTGTGATAGAGCCCGTTTGGCCTCAGCCCCGGTATTATTAGACATGGCATCACTCAGGTTTTTTGTTTTGTTTTTTTCAAAATAAGGGTGTTTGGGTGAGCTCCGGAGGAAAGGCTCTCAAGCAGCTGTCCTGGTCACTAGGTCAGCCAGTTGGCTTTTCTGTGTGGCCTCGTCTGTTTGTTTTTTTGGTGTCTTTCATAGTTTATAATTGTCATCTTGGATGGGAGGTAGACACAGGATAGGAAGTGATTTTTTTGTGATATTTAATAAGGGATTTAGCTGTTGACAGGATTTCTTTTTTTGATAGTAGTATGGGCATGTAGCACCAAGAAAGCATATTTTGAGTCAGTGTAAATATTAACCTTTTGGCCTTACTGAGCTCTAGTGTTCTGGTAAGGGCTATGAGTTGTGTCAGTTGGGCTTTGGTTTTTTTGGGGCATTAGGAGAAAAAAGCGGCAGTGAGGCAGGAGATCAGAGCAAGGCAAACTGGTTGAGCAAGTGGATGTGGCCCGTCCATCATGGAGACCCAGGATACAGAATCCAGGGTGACTATGCAAATTCCTGGACCCTGTACTGGAACTGGCTGGACCAATCAGAGAGTGCTATACTCAATTCTCCATTTATATCTGACACAAAACCAAGCAGGCCTTTGATAGGACAGTTTAAATCTGGCATAAGGCCAAGTGAGTTTCTGATAGGATAACCGTTCCAAGTGCCGTGTTCACAGGGGGAGAATCAATCTAGAACAGGAAATATAAAGGACTCCTGCCATTATCCCTGTGATTGCTGTGACCCTTTTCACCGGCCCACTCACTCTGGAGAGCATAATTCTTTTCTACCTTCAATAAATATAAGTTCTCGCGACTGTTTTTCATGGGTCTTTTCCAATTCTTTGTTCAGGATACCAAGAACCTGGAAGGAATTTCTTTGAGACCCAAGAAGCTGGGTTTAAAGAGGGACTGGTCTTTTGTTGGATAGCTAGTCTCTCTAAAAAGAGTGCCTGACATTTATAAAATGTAAATGTATAAATTTGATAAAAATAATTGTTAAAATACTATAGGAGGCAGAGTAGTTAGGAAGGACAGAGAAAAAGGCCACTGTTATGTGGAGTGTGACTTGGCAAAAACTTGACCCTGTCCAAGTACCCCAGAAACCTCAGCATATTGACAGAGAAAAAGGAGGCGTGGCTCCCCACACTGTTGAACAAGATAGAGTTCAAAACCTAATTTTAGTCTGAGAATCAAACATATTAGCGTATGAAACCCTGAGACTTACGGTTTTAGCAAGCTCCTTGATTCCGCTTTTTATCTCTTTCCTTTTCTGGGAAAACAGCCTAACCTCCTTTTCGATGGCCTGAAATGGAGCAAGCATGTCATTTAACAAAGCAAGAGAAACGACAGGGAGAGAGACGACAAAGGCTGGGATAGATGCCTAGATCGCACTTCTCCAGCAATGTAAATAAAATTCTCCCCAGGATGAATAATACGAAGTGTATGAGAAATGACACCTCTGCTGTGCCTTGCCGAAATCTATGCTGTGTAAGTGACCCCTGAAGCAACCTGCACCTCGTGCCAATTACACAGCCAACGCAAAGAAAGGAATTAAGGGGTGAAAAATTAAATGGTGAATAACGGACAAGAGAAATTGTAGTCTTTGACTGGGAACTCAGGTGCGACTACGCAATGGGCTGAATTCACACGAACCGCCACCATCCTGCTGCCTGTATCGCCCTGGTGACAGCTGAAGCCACGGCATCCCTTCCGCTCCTGCTGGACCCCGTGCTTTCAGCCAAACATCACTCAGAACGCACTCCAGAAGAGGGCCCCGCAGTGCCTTGACTCACCCGGCCACTTCTGAGGTTTCATAGCAGCCTAAGGACTGTCCCTAAAGCTCATCTATCTTAACCTAAAAGCCTGGCCTGCGTGTAGGGTGTGTGTTCGCTTGCGGGAAAGTTACACTCATCTGATAGAATGCCTGCCAGGCAGTGTCCCATCGAGTCTTCCCACTTTCCACTGGTTTCCACAGGGACTTCATCTATTTAGTGCATCAAAGGGCATTACTTCCAACCTCCCCGTGTCTGATAAATACCTCTTGGTTTTTCTGTTGTATCCAGGAAATCTCCTTCTTGCTATCAGGGACAACCAATTCCTCTCGTAATGAGTCAATGCTTAGCTTGTTCTGGCCCGTCTTAGAAGAAGACAAACATTTCTTAGATTAAAAATTCATGAAGTTCTCCTCCTCCAACCTCACTTCATATAACTGCATTGAATCCCTTTCATGTGTTGCATTTTTAAAATACCGGATATTTGCCTGCTCAAGATGCAGTATTTTGTTTCCTTCGTTCCTATGAGTCTGTCCTTATCACAGAAATAGAAAGGTTCCAAAGACCGATATACAAAGTATAGGGCCCGGGAGATAGCTCAGTGGCACAGCCCCTGCCTGGCAAGTGCAAGGTCCTGAGTTCAATTCCTAGTACAAAAAAAAAAAAAAAACACCACAAAAAACCAAAGTATACGTGAACTAGCTGCACAGCAGCCCTGGGTTTCACTGCCACATTTTGCAAGGAACTTGGAAGGTCCCTGAGGAAGCAGAAATGACTGCGCAGGCCACACCGTCCTTGCGCCACACTCCTTCCCGTGGTTGTGGACCACACGTCCCACCTGCCAAGGCCTGCACCGGCGCCTGTGCTTCGGATCTTAATCTTTCCTTCCTCCTCGAGGTCTGTCCACTTTTCCCCATCTCCCTCTGTGCCCTCCGTTTCTCCCTCCTCCTGGCTCTTCCCCCAAAGGCACCCAAACAGACTTAAATATCTTAGGAAACCTGCTCCCGACTGACCAACACATCCATGTCCACACCACGGCATTTCTACGCTCTTCTTTGCAGCCAAATGTCCCCGAGGAGTCTGGGATGTCACCCCCTGGTTCTCCTGTGACCTCCCTGGTCACCCTCTCCCTTTCCTGGGCTTTCCTCCCCTCTTCCCTGGCTCTCTAGCACCTGCTTTCTCAAGCTGGTCTCTCCTCGTCTCTTCTGACCAATCTTTCATCATGACCTTAACTAGTTTGAGGCTCCAAATTCCACTCCCATCCTTTGACTCTCCAATTAAGTCCAGTCCCCCCAACTCCCCCGCCAATGTCAAGTCTCATCAATCCAACAGGCCAAGTGACATCTCCTCTTGGTATCAAATTGGCTTTCTGAGCTCAGGGCAATGCTAATTTCAGACTCCCTTCTCTCTCCCCCAGCTGCTCCCTCCCCTGCCGTTGGCCCCATTCCATGGACACTCTGGTCTTCTACGCGGTTGTTCAAGGAAAAAGATCCAGGAGCTGTCCTTGATGCCTTGCTTTTCCTCTCCCTCCAAGTGCAGTCCATTACCGAGCTTATTAACTCATCTATCAACCCTTGAAACAGAGCGCACCACTGCCTCCCCAGCACTCTCTCCCCTACCATTGGCCACAGCCTCCGCTCTTCATCCCCCCTGACTCATCCTCCACACAGCAGCAAGTCATCATTACAAAAATACGGCCAAGGTCTTGTTAGTCCTCTGCTCAGAGCACTTCAAGAGATTCTTGCAGTGTGCAGTGAAACCCACACTTTGACCTGTTTACCCGGCTCTTCCTCATCCGGTCTCCTCCCACTTCAAGGACCTCATCCCACTGCCTTCTCCTTCACTCACTCCAACGGCCCAGGCCTTTTGTGGGTCCTCACCCGGCATGTCCAAGCTCTGCTCCCCGCCTTGAGTTCCTTGCCCTCCAGCCCCTGTCTCTCTGCATGGTGGCCCCCTTTCAATTTGGATCTCAGCTTGTGTGATTTCTCCTTGGAGATGCTGTCCAGGTAAACACTGTCCCATGAACCTATTTCCATTCACCGAATCGAACTTGTCACTGTCTAACTGTTCCTTGTCTATCTTGCTTATTATTTATCCATCTCTGCACACGGCCGACCTCCAATTAGAATGCAAAGACCACAAAAGACGCCTTTCTTGTTCAGGGCTGTATCTCTACAGGCCTACCACTTTGTAGGAAGAAAATCAATATGTATTTGTTGACAGAATGAATGAATCTTGCCCTCTAGCCAGATACTTCCTAAATCATAGGCGGTATGAAAGTATAAATGAATCACTTCCACCAAGCATCAGTACCGGTAGAAAAATTTTTTCAAGACAAGTCCAGACCTTGTACTATGGTTTAAGTTAGGTAAAATATTTGTGACTATTTGTGGAAAGGCTCAATGTTTTCATCAGGTGTAGTCTGTATTCTATTTAAAAACTATGGGATACCTGGTTAAGGAGAAATACTATTAAATAGGTATTTAAACAAAATATAAACTGAAAACTTATTTATGATTTACAACCCCCTCCCCAACCCCAAAAAGCAAGCAAACCATGTCAGAACTCAACTGGGTACTCAGATTCATATTCCAACGCTGAGGAAAGTCTCATTAAACTTAAATAATTATTCTCCTCTTCCATTCCACTGCTCAGAGACATAAATAGTTGCTGGCAATATTCAATAATTTCATTGACTAAATTTCCTCCAAGCCTCCTATATTAATAAGAAATAAAACATATAGATTACAAAGTCACAAATTTTTTAAAAATCACATTTAGCAGTGTTTCCTGATACCTAATTATCCCTACTTGAAGAAATAGGTGCACAATTCTCCACAGAGCCTTGCAGTTATTAGAACTCTACTTTCTACAGAAGAACACTTTCATGGGCTCCGGGACACAGCCTCTTTGTCTCTGTGGGGTGCGTGCCCCCACATAGTCCAGAATGCACCAGGCACTGTGCTTCTTGCACATGCACCGTCACATACCACGCTCCATCCTCACAGCCACTCTGCAGGAGGAGGGTCACTTCCATGCAGCACAGCAGGGCGCCTTGAACCTCAGACATGTCCCCACCAGGAGGGCTTGGGAGCACTCATTCTTGGCCACACTTGCGCACCTTCTGATGCAGAAGGTCAGGATGGGACCCAAGAAGATGCACTTCTAACAGACTCTCAGAAAGCTATAGTAACTTACACGGCTAAGCTACTGCTATCTATGACTTAGAGGGCTTGTCACATGCCTAAGGTCACAAGCTCATAAGTCCTGGGCCAAGGTGTCAAACCCAGCTTTGGTCTGAGTCAGATTTCAGGTCATTACTGATGCAAGTGTCCTTATTTCTATAAAGCAAGCTCCTTCTTCCTGTACCTGTTTGCTGTTGCCTGAGATGCTGTCTGCACACTGACTCTAAAGGATGTGGTAGGACTTATTAAAAAGTAAGATACAACTTTATATTTATTTAGGATTCCATGTATAAAATGGGCCTGACAATACAGTTCTCAAATGAGCCTTTCAAATAAATGGCTATCGAAATTATTACGATACAAATGCTCCACAATATTTAATGCTCCACAATATTTAACATTTTCATAAGGTTACCAAGAAAGGCCATGTTTTATTACTGCTTCAATCACAGGAGGTATTAGGAAATATTTTTTGCTGAAATTAATCACACACTGATAAGAGATATCCATCAGCAGATAAAACTAGGCAGCATTTAGAGTCCAGGCTGTCTCTTCTGCGTCATCTACATGCTTTCTACTCGCTGGACATCATCAGTATGTTTGGGTAGCACTGATATGTTTAGAATTTTAATTTTAGTCTAAGCAAACTAATCTAAACAAGTTAATATCATCTAAGCAATATCTAACTAGTGAGTAAATGTATGCATGCACACATACATACATATGCACGCACACACAGACATACATACCTACATATATACATGCATACATACCTGCATACATATGTCACTGTTATCTAATGTTCATGACAGTCCTCATTCCCTATCCTCCAGCAGATGCTGCGGAATGTAGGTCTGCTCATCCTCACATACACTGACTATCCTTTTTTATATTATGTACTTTGCAGCTTTGACATCTGGGACCTCACCGATCCTGGGAGGACCACTCCTTTCAGCATTAGGCAGGTCCTAGAGATAGTAATAACTCATCCCGGGGTGGTCTTTCAAATGCAACCAGCCTGTCCACAGGCCACATTCCAGCCACCTGGAGTTGAGGAGGCTCTCACTCCGCAGGGCCAGGTCCCAGAACCTGCTGATACTTTCCAGACCAACGCATCCTAAGCCAGCCCAATCCTTCTAAGAGAAACCATGCCTCTCACCCACACTTCCCCACGCCCCAGCCATCTGACCTGCCCTGCTGCTTCCCATGTGACCTATATAGGGTGGTGTGCTCTCTTGTCTGGGAATCTGCGAGTCTAACACCATCTTTTCAATAGCAGCTGCCTGCTGGTATATTCACCTTGCTGTGCTCAGGTAATAGTAAAAATCTAGAGCACCACATCCCAGGGGCTGCTTACTGTGCCGTACGTACTTCCATTTGAGGAAGACCAGGGCGCCGTCATCTTTCCCATTCACCAGAATGCTTTGTCCATCCAATGAAATTCTCACGGACTGAATCCCATGCCCCTGGTGGGAGTGACTCCGACACCGAGCAAACGTATCCTCAAGAATTTTAGGGACAAAGTGGAGAAGTTACAAAGGCAACTCTACACATGGTTTTTCGAACAGGTTGCATGCATGTTTGCTGGTGGCTAAATCTTCTCTATGTGCTCATAGCACTTTGAGCGCTTTGGTGTGGAAGTAACTCTGGGGAATATGCAGCACTTAAAGCCCGCCTTGAACCTCTTCACCAATGCCGGTTTGTTCTCCCACAGCTTTGTACAGCGTGCAGAGATCACTGAGTTGCAGTAGGCGATCAGACATGGAGAAGAGAACGGGGTGCCTGAGAGCTGTGGGGTCAGGGTGGGGCCTTGGGCAAGTAGAGAGGGCAAATTCAGGTGCCTTCAAGCAGGCAGGCTCCTGGTGCACAAGGCGGCTGGGTGTGATGCCAGCGGGTGATGGGCACTGTGAAGACGGACACCAACTAAACCAACCCGCCAAACAACAAGAAGGCTTGCTTTTGCCCTTAACAACCAGTACATTGCGATGTTCTTTCCATATCGTTACATAAAGATTTCCTCAGTCTGCACCATAGCTGCGTAATAGTTCATGTTTTACTGGTGTGCTGATTTTGTATCATAATAAATTTTTATTTACCTAGACTTCTGTTCACGGACATTGGGTTGATTTTGCAAATGGTGCTACCAAAAGTAGCCTCAGATATGAGGTGCTCAGTACTGGAGTGTAGGTCATAGCATCACTCACAACTCTGACACCTTGCTATTGGGGGCCACTCTGAGATGCACTGTACCTTACAGTTTATGTGAATAGCAGACAGTGTAACAGATGGCAAATCATTCACTTCATTGTTTTTATTTATTTATTTTTTTGTCTTTTTGAGACAGGGTCTTGTTATAGAGTTCAGGCTGGCCTTGACCTCACTTTGTAGCCCAGGCTGGTCTCGAACTCACAGCGACCCTCCTGCCTCAGCCTCCAGAGTGCTGGGATTACAGGTGTGCGCCACTACGCCCGGCTAAATCATTCACTTTAAAATAACCTCTAAGGGACTTGAGATTTTTCCCATATAATAGGATCACTTTTGCCCAAATATGGTTTCTTTAAGGGATGAGCAAAAGAGCTGGGATGCATCCAGCTAGGAGTCAGGTTATCTATGGACTCCGGGGAGTTCTAGGTAGGTGATAGAGTGCTCCAGGTAAGAATCATAGACCACTCTTAGGAAAGGATTCCCCACCCCTTGAGGAGAAGCAACTGCTTTCACTTTCTGCGAGGTCTGAGAACAGTGGAAATCAGAAAGATGGTGGTCGTTGAGGCGGACGGGCACTGAGTCTGCGGTGACTCAGAGCATCCACCCTTGGCACCTCCAGCCTCCCCTGAGGGACCAGGCCCCATAGGCCAGCGGGCAGGAAGTGTGCACGGCTTTGTGCCATATGCCCTCCAGAGACAGACAGAGAGAGAGAGAGAGAGAGAACTCCCAGCAATATGCCCTCCAGAGAGAGCGAGGGCTCCTAGGCTTCAGAAAGTGTCATCTGAGCAACTGGAATTCAGTGATGCTCCCTGGATGCCCAAGACACAGAAGCGGTGGAGTGAGCTGGGCTGGATCTGCTGCGCGGTGCCCTGCCCTGCACTCTATACCTGCAGATCTCCCTACCGGGCAGAATTTCTTCCATTGGGGAGTCCAACGAAAGCAGCAAATCGCCCATAAAGTGTTAGTCATTAATACCGGCCGGCAGTGATCACAAAAAGTTGAGCCGATTAGAATAAGCTCCCATTCATCATCTAAGGGCTTCTGTTCCTTATCTGAAACCAATATACACACCCCGTACCTGTTTTAGAAAAGGGATTTACCAAAGTGTGAACATCTCGGATACACAGTATTCCACACTTAGCTACTGTTATGAGCCACAGTCCGTGTGAGGACAGATGGAGCATTCCAGGCCCATAGTGTTTGCTTTGTACTTTTTGGTGTGGTTTAAGAATGCAGATGCTTCCGTGTTCCTGCCAATCAAAGAAAAGGACCATATTACAGCAAAGATCGGGTGAGCAGCCACTCGAGGTTGCAGATGTGCACGGAATGCTGGTTAAATTCAGATACATGAATGTGGTGCTTGGAAACAAGCCAGTACTGGATAGAGCAGGCAGCTGTGTGTGTACCGTGTGCTTTTTTTTTTTTTTTTTTTTTTTTTACAAATGAGGTTGTTTTTGCCAACTAAAGAAAGTCTTCTCTACATGCTCACATGCCATTCAAGATCCCAACCTACACTTCAACCTTAATTTTTACCAGTCATTTTCATACATTCTCATGTACAAGTCTAAATAATCGGTATGCTTCCTATGTGTCTGTCCCTCACTTTTCCAGAAAGCCCTTCTTTACCCCATCCCCCAGCCAGGCCCACCTGCTATCAGCAACCCCCACTGCACACACCATCTCTCTGCATCTAAATCTGACCTATTCCTCAAAGTCCAGATCCTCCACTCAACTCTTCTAGAAGCCCCCTTGCCATGAACCTTCTTTCTCCTCCTGATTTCAATGTCTAATACTGGCTACTCTGGGTGGAAAAGGCTTTGACTGAGAAATTTAGAAGGACAAGGAGGTGGGTTCTCTTGGGGCCCAAAGATAGGCATTAATGGGACACTGCATGGCCCATGGGAAGAAGGGCAGTGAGCAGAGGATCAGCCAACCAGGGTGTGCTAGACAGTGGGGAAGGGGCAGAAATGTCCTTTAATATTTTGTGCAATTCTGCTTAGGGCCAATGTGCAAAGTTCCACTGAAAGCCATCTACTCTTTGGTCCTTGGCATCTATGGAATTGACTTTTTATTGTTAGATTTTTTTTTAAGTCACTACAATAATATTTTATCACCTGTATGTTTATCTGACCAGTATGATACATTCGGCACCAATGTGGCTCAGGAGTGGGGTTGCTCGAATATATTTAATGATGGATTAACAAGTAACACTAATATATACCTTGTTCAAGAGAATTATGTTAACATAATAAGACCAATTTTCACCTGGGCTACTCTGTTACAACAGTCAAGATATCAGGCCTAACTGCACAATGCAAACTTGAATTCTAAGATAAATAATACATGCTTAAAGTTTGGCATACTTGTTCAGGAAGATGATAGCTACAGATGTACGGCACTTGGCTGCAGAACCCATATATTTGGTTACTTTGAAAGTCCAAGACTGCAGAAGACAGAGTGTGCTCTATCTCATACAGGTGCTTATAAATGAGCTCATCTCTCAGCCTCCCCCTTTCGTCGGCAAAACCTGTACAAAGTATAATATTTGGGGAAGAAAAGAGATCACTTGTACCATACTTATTTTCTATTTTAAGCCATTATGGACAATTAGGAAAACAAAAGGAAAGATTTTAAATACTTGATTAATATTGTAGAGGCTAGTTGGTGATTAAAATGATTTTAAAATTAATTAACTCCCCTAGAAACCCTTATGATAAAATATCTTTTGTAAACCATGGTCAATTAACTTAAGGAAATAGCATTAAAATAAACTTGTGATAGTATAGGGATTACTAACTAAAACAGAGAAAGACTTGGAGATTTTCTCTGATACTCTGTAATTACATACTTGGAAAATCACTACCCGGAAGCATCTGTCATCTAAAACAAGGACTGCCTATTTTCTCATACCTCTGTTGTAAAGAAAGCTTTCTTCAGAATTTTATTAGCAAAGGTGACTGCACTGTAAACTACCTGAATTTAACTGTGTATATTCAAAGCTATAAAACCAGGAACATCACAGAATTACATATAAATCTGACGTAAGTGTCAGCAGGCCCCACTTCTTTTCTCTAAAAGTGAAGGAGGTTCATGAGTGATAAGGCCTGGAGGAAAGCCCACTTTTCAAACTGTTTAGCAACCACACCAATTTTCCTCTGTAAGGACACACAAAAAGTAGCCATCTTACCTCTTCACATGCTAAGGGAGAAAAATGCTGTCACTAGACCCCGCTCAAAACAAACAAAAACAAAAGCAAAACAAATCAAAACAAAGTTATAGCAACAACTCAACTGGGCCGGTACAGAGGGGCTGGGTTGTTCATTTCTCTTTACCTTGTGGTAGTATTCTAGGCAGAATAAATATTGCCAGCCTGCTTCCTTCTGGTTCTGCAACCGAGGAAAGTGCTATCACTTGCACTATATTTGCTCCCAAAAGAGACACTGTGGATATTTGTAGAAGTTCCTTGCTCACCTCTGAAAGCAATGGGATCAACCCACAGTCATCATTGGTTAAATTCAAAGAACCCTTTATCATCCCAATTAAGATATCACGTTATAGACTTGCCCTCAATCTGGAGAACCCAGTTTAGTTACTGATACTCTAATTCAAAGTGACCTTTAAATGTAAGTATCCGGGGCTTTTTTTTTTTCTCATACAGAGGAGTGAATCCTGGGCCTTCGCAGTGAGCTAGGTCCCCAGTCCTTTTTGGTATTTATTTTGAGGCCCGGTCTTACTAAGCTGCTCCATTGCTCAGGCTGGGCTTGAACTTGCAGTCCTACTGCCTCAGCCTCCCAGAGTGCTGGCATCACAAGCTGTGCCCTCATGCCTGGCTGTGACACAGACTTTCTGATGAACTAGTGGATTTCTTCTGATCAGATATCTGGAACTGCAGATTCCAGGCAGCTCAGTCCGGCCCAGGGCCTTTCCCGCCTGGGATGGTGCCCACTCTCCACACGCCGTGCTGCCCTGGCTCTTCACCACTTCGTCCTCTCTCCCTGCCACTAGACTTGGACATCACTGTTCTTCCCATTAAGGAGTGCGTGTGCATGTGCGTGTACGTGTGTGTGTGTGTGTGTGTGGCGGAAATACCACCCAGGACTCTGCATTTGTCCTCTGGAAACCCAGCTCGTGGGACCTCAGCAGCACTTGCCGCGCCTGGAGCCTCCTCTCCCGCCCGCCACCTTCTCAGCCCAGGCTGATGGCTCCCTCCTCCTCCAGGAGGAAGGCCGGGGCCACCTGGCACAGGCACAGCCTTGGCGCCCTCACCCTGAGTCGCGTGTCTTCTGTCCCGTCCTGTCCCCTGTGTTTCCTGACCCTGATCTAAGAACCCATCTCAGGTCCAATCTGTGACGCTGAGCCCATTCCTCCTGCTGGACCGTGCACTAGCGGTCATCTCCTCTTAGCCTCTCATGAGCCCTATGGATCCTTCTATTCTGCCCTCAAGTTCCGCCGCCTTCTGATAAGAACCTTCCTCCAGCTTCCTCTACCACCTGCTCCCACCACAACGTGCTGCCTCACCCAGGCCCCAAAGCAAGCAGCCAGCCGACCATGGACTACAACCTCCAAAACTGTGAGCAGAAATAAACCTTTTTCTTCGGAGTTGGTTTATCTCAGGAATGTGTCACAGGAATGCAAGGCTGATGAACACACCTTGCTTCTGCATATAACCCAACACCAAGGCCTGACAGTTCCATCACTCAGAGTGTTTCTTCTTTCTTCTCTCCACAGCTATGGCACAGGTTTGTGCATTGTGGGTAAAAACATATGCCAGGAACATTTTTGCATGCGAATGTTCACAATAGCTTTATAAAATCTGTTGCTCTTTTTCTACACTGTTGTTTGCTCTTCTCTTGTTGATTTTCAAAATTCTTCATCCTTCTTATTTATCTGCACTTGAGTTTATCCATTTTTTTTTCCAGATTTTGAGTCCTAGATCTACAGCTAACTACCTGTGTGGCCTTGTATAAATACTTAACCTCACCCTGCCTTCATTGCCTCATCAATAAAATGGGACAATAGTAGTTGTCTGCCTCATCACAGTTGCCTAGAGGAGTTAACATATGTCAAGAGTTTAAAACATTTGCTCTCCCCTAGTAGGGCATCCATCAGTAAAAACTTGCCCCCATGAGGATTATGATTATCCTCATCTCTTGTCTGACTACTATTAGCATTTCCTAACATCTTTTTTTATTGTTTTCTTTCCTTCCTATTGCATTCTCACCCTGGGGCCAGGCTCATCCCCTAAAAACAAATCAAATCATGCCAATTCCCCTCGAAACTCTGGTGACATACCACTCACCACAGAATAAATTCCAGACGTCTTGAAATGGTGTTCGGGGCCCTACGTCATCTTTCAGACTTCACTGGCACCCTCATCTTTTGGTAAACACTTTCATTTATCCAATATTCTTCAAAAAAATCTTGAGCTGAAATACTAATGTGCCACACCCTGCACATATGCAAATGCTGCCAGGATCCTACCAGCCCCCAGAAAACTCTCCCTCTGTCTGCTGCACCCCTTACCCTCTACCTCTTTCCTCACACCTGCCGGAAGTAACTGCCTCCTCCTCGGCACCTACAAAGCACGGCTCTGCCCTCCCCCAACAGAGGTCTTTCACCCTTTGCATGCCCAGTCAGGCTCAGTGCTGTGCGCCTCCCAGGCACTCAGTAACTTTTACAAATCAGTGAAGAGATTTATAAATATACTTTGGGGAAAAACATACTAAAGCATACTTAAAGCCAGAGAGCAAACACTCAGTGAAAGATTAAGTATTGTCTAAAAAACATTTTCGGGGAAAAATCACCCCCACTTCTCCGTGTAAGAATGTTAGAAATGTCCAGCGATTTTATTATTTAATTCAATAACTGATATGAGAAAATACTTCAACATCAACTATGTTCTAAGCAGATAACTCTAGTTATCCAAACACCTCTAAATACAGCGTGGGTACATATGCTTCTAAGCAGCTGTTAACTGTAATTTGTGGGTTTTTTCTTTTAGAAAATATGCCATGAATAATTGTTGTGCCCTAGTGCCACTTTCATAGCCTAATAAACACCCTCTGTCGCACCTGTGAATCCAAGAATCTGAAAGGAGCTTGTGGGTTTGGCATCAATAACAAAGACTTTTCCTTCTGACGTCCCAGCCAACAGGTACAGTCCTCTCTGGTCATAGCTAGAAGAGAAGAATCTAATGGTCAGATCTTACTTATTTTACCAGCTAGATGCTAAACAAGTTCAGTGAATGAATGACCACGGAAGTGCATTCAAAATGACTCATTCTTGTGGTCTGTGCTTTTAATAATCTCCGACCTTAAGAAAGCTGAGAGAGAAATCATAGTACTGTAGGCCAAGCCTATTCCAAATTACAACTTAAAAAATACAATCAAGAGGACTGTACAGGGAAGACGGGCAATTGCTTCATCATAAATGAACGAACTGTGTCAGTAGAGCTTTCTTAAAATTTCAAGTGGAAATAAGTAATTCTCAAATTAGTGATGGAAGTGACTTTCCAGTACCCCATGACTTATACCCCACAGGTAGAGGACAAACATAGGAAAACATTTCTACAATGTCCTCAAATTAGAAAAAGTGGAAGTATACAAATTTGGCATAAGATATAAGGATCTGAGAAAGAAGAGGCACAAAAAACATATGGTTCAGAAAATGGGGGGATTCTGCCAAGGGGATGATGCCCACCCCCCCACCCCCCCCCAGCTAGAGGTTGTGGGTTTGGCAGGAGCCGCTCAGAAGACCGCAGCCCAGCTCCTCTTGTAAATCTTGGGCAAACGCTTCTCTTCCTGGCCTGAATGTGAATCTCCTAGCCCAGCAGGGGCCGGCATACTTCCTTTCTGACCAGTGTTTTAGGGCTCGCATTCAATAGGCTGCCATAAACAGCGAGAGACAATAGCAGCAACGCGCACGTCCGAATTCAGTGTGTCTACCACGCTGCCTTCAAAATACAGCTTCGAAAGATCTGAGGCACTCTAAATGTCCATCAGTACGCTGTTTTTGTAAAATAAAAAAGCAGAGATAGTCGTACGCTGGGATACATACCACTATAAAGAAAAACAAGAAAGGCTGATAGAAAATATTTTTCAAAATATACCGCTAAGGGGGAAAAGGGAGCTCCGGAACATTGTGTGTAGTTTGCTCCCTTTAAAAGCAGCAGCAGAGACTCTGGGCCCAGCCTCAGGGCCTCCGATCTCGCTGAGCCACATCCTATCTGGGTACTGTGAGCAAGGTATTAAACTCCTGAGCCTCGCCATCCTCATCTGAGCAAGGGACAGCAGAGTCTGTGCCGCGCGGAGCTGCCCAGGAGCCAGCAGAGGAGCCTGGTGCACCGTCAGGGAGAGCTGGAGGGACACAGGGAGAGAGCTGGGCGGGCAGGGACTTCCCACCGCACGCCCTCTGCATTTTCTGAACGTTAGACTTGCTGAGCACATCACGACTCAAAACAAATGTCAAGCTTAGCAGCGGCAGCGGCCTGGCTGGTGTCTGCAGCAGACAGGCCTCAGCAAAGCGCTGCTGGCCGCGGGGTGCTTACTTGAGGTGCTGCACAGGCGCCTGGGAGAGGAAGGCCTTGTGGACCACCCGAGGGGACTCCACCCCGCGCACGTCCAGGAAGTGCAGGCAGCCATCCGCGGTCCCCACGGCAGCGGAGAGGGAGGAGGGGGAGCAAGCCAGAGTCGTTGCCTGTTTAAGACACACGGGAGAGAATGCAGTTAGATCTGCTGCACCCCACAGGCTGAGCGGGCTGGGTCCTCTGTGCGGTAGAGCTGCACTTCACACGGGCGGGGCCCTGGGTCCATCCATCCCGAGCACACACACAAGAGCGCGCGCACCTACAAGTTTTTGAAAAGCCTGCAGAGAGACAGGAGCGCAACCTGTGGTGTGCTGCCTACTTCAAATTATAAACTCAGCCCTCCCCAGCTGATTGCATAAGCAACCATAGCGATCTGTACATACATCTAGTTCCTTAATCCTAACATTAGCGTGCTAGGATATAAGGAAGGTTTTTGAACTTTAAACAATAGCATTATTTTACCCTTGAATGATCATCCAATGAGTACGCCAGTAACATTTATAAAATGAGGCCAATAGTAGTGAAAAATACAATAAAAAAAATTTGGACATATTCTTGGGATCTTTTGGACATGTTTGTAAAATGTAGTGATTTTTAAAACCAGCCTTTGTCTTCTGAATTGTGATGAATCTTGGGATGACTGAGGGGGACTTAGGATAACTCTGACCATACATTAAAAACAAAAACAAAAACAGCCCCATTCCAGATCCCTGTTTATCTCACCATCATTTATACAGAATAGGATGTCTGAGAGAATGCATTTATTCCGTAATACCTAAGGAATCAGATTAATTCCCCTATGGTTATACTTTGTAGGTTGTTTGGAATACACTCGTGCAATGCCAGGGCGGGAAAAGAACTTAAGAGATCATTGTCTTGCAGAAAGAAGGGAAAATAGAGGCCGGGGAGGTACAGGGTCTGCCCCAGATCCCATAGCAGGTAACAGAGCTCGGATGAACGCAACGTCCAGGGTCATTAGAACACAGCAGTCTCCCAACTGAGTGGGACTTTTTTTTTCTTACAATTTAAAAATTATAATTATTATGTTCATTGAACAATACAATGGGTTTCTTTGAGACATTTTTACTCATGTATATCCCAAACTTTGACGGTATCCGTCATCTCTACTACCCTCTGAATTCCCCCAGTCCTCCACCGTGGTGGTAACGACCCTTCTATTTTCATGTCATCTTCTCTCTCCACCCCAGATTCCACATACGGGAGGAAACATGTGATACTAGTCTTTTGTTTAACATGATGGCCTCCAGTTCCGTCAGTTTTCCCAACAGCAACTTATTACTGCTCAGCTGAAAGCCCTTGTGAGACCTCTCGTGGTTGTGTATGTGTAGCATGTGCCTCACAAAATCCATGCCAGGGCGATGGTGGGCTAGTGGACAAGACAAACAGCGTAGCCAGAGGACGCAATTGTGGCAAACTGCCTGTCTCCAGGTGTCCAGAAGCAAGGCTGGGCTCCCTGAGGACCACTGTCCAAAGTGTTCACAGGGAACACGGCACAAGCAGGCAGGTTGCCTGCCGACTAGCCCTACGGGGCAGTGGTTTCCGCCAGCAGGGAAAAGCGCGTGTCTACCCCAACTGAATCACACAAGTGTACCCTAGCTGGCTTGGGGCTCAGGGAAGGTCTCTGGATGGTGTAAATCCTGGTGTATAAGCCCCCAGGAGTGCTGCTACACATTTGCATGTGTGTCATGTGTAGAAAGCGATGTGATCTGATGAACTTGTCAGATCTCTTCTATCTTTAGAAATGCTAATAAAATGTATGCATATAAATCTTTATCACACACACAGATTATGGAGTCTTCTTATATTTCTGTCTTTTAGCCAAGCAGTTTTACTTTGGGGGAGAGTTTCATTTGTCCAATTGAATGATGTGTCGTTTGCATCTTGTAATATTCTTCTTGAGGTATGTTACTTACTCTGTTATAATTGAGATTTTAATTTTCTAAAGGGGAAGGATCGTAACTTCCTTACCTAGTGAGATCCAGAGCTCTTCTAGAACTGTGCAGTAGCCTATGATGGTAATCAGCAGAAAAAGCCCAAACATTACCATTGTTTCTTGGGCTCCTTTTACCATTATTGTGTATAAAATGCTCTGTGAACACGGCAGAAGTGGCATCACACTGAGGAAGGTGTAATGGCAGCACCTCGACACCCTCCTGAATACGCCACGAGTAACAATCTTGTCCTGTTTCCTGGCTGGGGTGGACTGGACCTGACTCACATTTCCAGGGCTGAGCGGATGCCGGTTAGCATTGTTGAGCCCACTGCCCACAGTGAGTAGTGGTTATTAAGACATTAGAAGACGTGAACTCAGCTTTGTGGGAGGTGGAGACTTCCTTTCTCATCCTCCCCCTACTGTCAGAAGTTTGCTTCTCTGGCAGTGTGATGCAAGGCTGGCACTGCCCGCATCTGGATGCCAGGACATGAGGCCTAAGATGAGACCAAAGCCGTTGAGGAGGCCCAGAAAAACTGGGGCCCTGCTGGGTGGAGATGCACACGAGGCCAGACAAACTCTGTACTTGGTAGCTGACTGATGCAATCATTTCCCACTTCAAAATTTTTGGCTTAATCAGGATAGAGTGGCAACATTTCTTCATTTCTAATTGATCTTATTGCCAGGTGGAGTCATTGAACGTTGATGGCTCAGGAACAGTTTCATTGCAAAGCAAAAGCAACAGCCCTCCTGCCCTCTCCTCCTCCCAGCCTGCCGCAACACAACGGCAGAATGTGAGTGAGATGGAGACTGTGAAGACTCTAGAAATAGCTGCCTCCACTGAAGAATGCACCACTTCTTATACATACACTGGTAAAGCACACTACATCCCGCTGCCAGGGCTGCATGTATGCTGTGCACACAGGGACTGCTCTCCACCTATCAGGTAAAATGCAATAAGCCATCTGCAGCCAGCATTTTCACAGACTCCTGAGATACCAATATGGAAAGACAGATGGATTAGAATTCAATGTTTTTAAAAAATCCACTTATCAGGCACACTCACTGTGGTATTCAGATAAATCTTGCTTGCACAAGTGCAATCCTCCAGCCACCACACACAAACTTCCCCTGAACGTGTGAGTGTCTGTAAAAGAGAGGAAGATAAAATTCCAAATGGAAAATAGGACTCTGCTGCGGAAACATGTTCTAAATCACTGTCTCGTATGTGAGTCTGAGGAGTTAGTAAAAAAATGTTCATATTTATGCAGATTACAAATAATCATTTCATAATTTCAATGTCAATACTTCTTTTCCAGAGAAACAATAAGTAATATTTTAGGCATTTGTGACAGGTGTATTATATCTGGTTGAATTTAATACTCTTATTAGCCTGTAAATAATGATGCCATCTCCTACAATAAAATGGTATCAATCTCATTTTAAAAAAATAAACAATTTCGTTATTTCACACAAAAATAAATGATATTTTAATGCAATTAAAGTAAGACATAATAACTAATTAAGATTAGAAAAGTAAATTAAAATTTTTTGCCATGTAACATCTGTAAGACAAGAGTTACCTAGAAATTCAATGAGATTATTGCCCATTTTAGCTTCCTTATTGCTGGGACAAAATACCAGACACCAGCAACTGGAAGGAAGAGAGGTTTATTTTTGGCTCATGGCTTCAGAGGTTCAGTCCAGAGTCAGCTGACTCCAAGGTAAGAATGTCATGGCAGAAGGGTATGGAGGAGCAAAGTGGCTCACTTCCTGGTGGCCGGTATTCAGAGTACAGGGGAAGAGCACCCATGCGAGAGGTACTCCCCAAAGGCATGTCCCCTCCCGCTGGCTCTACCTCCTGACAGCACGTTCATCTATGAACACCTGCAGACGGATCTACCTCCTATGGGATAGAGCGTCCCTCCATCCAATCACATCTCCCGGAGTCAGAATCTAGTCAAGTTGACAGTTAAGATTAACCAGCACATTGCCTGATGAATAAGCTGAGAAACAGGAAAGTAGACATCGTTCTTGTTTAAACTGATAAGACTTTGTTTTTTAGAGCAGTTTTAGAATTACAGAAAATTTGAGCAGAAAGTATGGAGACTTCCGCTGCCTCTGCCTCTCTGCATATGCAATTCTCCCATTATGGACGTCTTGCATTAGCGTGGTGCATTTGTTGGACTAGATGAGGCAATAATGATACACTGTACTATGATTGGTAAAGTCTGTAGTTTACATTAGGGCTCACTCTGTTTTGTTCATTCTGTGTGTTTCCACAAGTGTTTCCACGTAGGTGGCTGCCATCACAGTCATAAAGAATGGTCTCACTGCGGTGAAAATCCCGTGCTCCCCCTGCTCGCACCTCTCACCACACCCCTGGCTGCCTCACCACACCCCTGGCAGCCGCTGATCTTTGTACTGTTTCCACAGTTTTGCCTTTTCCAGAATCCACGCAGTAGGATCCACACAGGATGCAGGCTTCTCAGACTGGCTTTTATTAGTGAGTCATATGCGTTTAAAGCTCCACTCTTTCGGGGGCCTGTTAGCCGTTTTCTATTATTGAACAATGTCCCATTGCTTCTTTGTTTATCCACTCACCCACTAAGACAACCTAGTTGTTTTCAAGTTTGGGTGATGATGAGTAAGGCTGCTATAAGGATTCATGTGCAGCTTTTTTCATAGAAGTGTATGTGTTCAACTCACTTGGGTAAATGCTAAGAAGTGTAATTGCAAAGTCACATGGTAAGTATCAGTGTAGGTTTGTAAGACCTTGCCAAAGCATCTTCCAAAAGGCAATGAGACTATTTCTCTTGTTCCTCCCCAGCATTTAGTATTACCAGCACTTGGATTTCAGACATTCTAATACATGGTAATGGCAGGGCATTGCTGTTTTCCCACACAAAAAACAAATGATGTGAGCATCTTTTCATCTGCTTATTTTCCATCTGTATATCTTTAGTAAGGTGTGTAGACATATTTTTGCTTATTTTACTTGGGTTTTTCATTTTCTCATCATTGAATTTTAAGTGTTCTTTGTATATTTTGGACACTAGTACTTTATCTGATAAATGTTTTCCAGAGATTTTTCATTCAGTCTCTGGTTTGTCTTTTTGTTCTCTCAACAGTCTCTCTTTTTTGTGTGTGCGGTACAGGGGATTGAACTCAGGGCCTTGTGTATGCTAGGCAAGCACTCCACCACTGAGCCACATCCACAACCCTCAACAGTCTTTCATAGAACAGAAGTTTTTAATTCAATGCAGCACAATTTGTGAATTTTTTGCCTCCATAGATTGTGACTTGGTATCTAAACAGTTATCACCAAGCTCAGGGGTCACTTACACTTTTCTTTTATTGTCTTCTAGGAGTTTTATAGTTTTACATTTGATTTTTTTTGTGAAAGTTGTAAGATTACATCTAGATTTTTTTTGTATGTAGATGTCAAGTTGTTCCAGCACAATTTACTAAATTGCCTTTGCTCCTTTGTCAAAGATCAGTTGACTATGTGTATAGATTCCTGGGCTTTCTAGGAAGGGCTCTCTATTGTGGGTCTTTTGCTTTGTGTATAAATTTTAGAATCAGTCAGTTTTCATAAAATAACTTGATATCTTGATTGGAATTAAATTTAAAGATATAGTTGGGAAGAACTGACATCTTGACAATATTTAATCTTCTATCCAAGTACCTGTAATCTCTATATAATTCAGATCTTTTGAGTTCTCTTACCAAGGTTTTGTAGTTTTTCTCATACACAGATTATACATGTTTTGTTAGATTTATAGCTTGTTTACTCTATTGATGGTAAAGAAAATGGTAATGTATTTTAAATTTCAAATTTTAAAAAGAAGGCAGTTGGCTTTCTTGTATGTTAAACTTTTGCCTCCAAACCTTGCTGTAATCACTTGCTAGAGGACTGCTCCGGGTGCACATTTGTTCACTTTAGAAAAATAACTTTCTCATGGTCAAGACTGAAAGCAGCTTAAAATGACTGCAGTGTGACACAGTCCAAGTTCTGTTTCTTGTGTACAAAGGAGTGAGCTGCAAATGTGGATCAAATATCTAATTCCTATGCAGGACAGTCTTGTACAGACCTGGGTTGAGTTGGGAGAGTCACAAAAATAGATATTTTTTTATCAGAGATGATCTGGAGAAGAAAGCAGCAGTGCTTGAAGATGTAAAAAAATCTTATCTGTCACTTACTCCATAACCTGTGTATGTTTTCATTTTTTAGGGCATTTAAAATCTTAATGATACTGTTGATAAATCATATTAAAATTGCAATAGCTTGAGACCAACAAAAGGTAAATCAACATGGGAAGCAAGTCTAAATGTAGAGTACGTTTTTCCCCAGGTTCACTGAATTCTTGTTTTGAGTGCAGCAAATATTTCATTTTCACCCAGAAGTGGTGTGAAAATGGCCCTCATTCTGAAAGGAAGCATATATTGAGCGTGTTTAGCAGCCTGGCCTGCAGAGCTTGGTTAGCGAAGCAAAGATGTCCTCTAAGCTCTCAGTTGCTTTGGCTGCTCTTAGGAGACAATATTATGAAGTCACACTATGATGATGTCATTGTAATGGGGGAATAGTGTGATGATGGAAGTGCCTGGCATCTGGTCCTGTTTGGTCTAAATGCCTGCCCCGCCCCCCCAAGTCTCCTGTGTTCAAAAGATGATTGGATCATGGGGCACTGCACTCATCCGTGGGTTCATCCATCCATGGGTTCAGTAGCCGAATGTGATTTTGGGGGCCTGGTTGGAAGTGAGTCGTTGAGGGTGTGACCCGGGAGGGTGGACTTATTTTTATCCCTGGCGCCTTGCTTCTCTCTCTGCTTCCTAGCTGCTTTGGGATGGGCAGTTTTCTTCTGAGCAAGCTCTTCCACCTTGACCTTTCTGCCTTGGTCTGTGGACTGAAACATGAGCCAAAATAAACTTCTCCTTTAAGTTTCGGGTGTGGGTGTTTTGTGCCGGCAACAGGGAAGTAACTGCGATAGTATCTCTACATAATCTTCAAAGATACCCTGGCTTATGTCTGCTCTGAGTAACTGCTTTGAAGATAACAATACACAATGTATTAGATTGTGTTATTTTCTTTTTTTGTTATGAAATTTTGCTTTATTTTTTCATAAGATAAAAAAGGAATGCTAATTCAGTACTGTGCAAAAATAAAAGTGTCACAGAAAGATACTAAAAAAAAAGCTGCCCTCACCCCCTTATTTGCAGTAATTTGGACATGAAATTCCAAAGTTATCCAATCACATCTGAGTAGGAATGTAAATCAGGAAGCAGCACATCCTTCAACCCTATTACAGCACATAGGATGTTCCTTACCATGAAGTGTTTGGTTCCAGGTGTGATAAAGTCAATTGCCTGAAACTTTCCATCACAAGCATCTAGGACTTTATCTAAGGTTGGCTCTTCACCAAAAGTGTAAATATAAACAGATCCCTGACAAATATAAAGAGAGAAGGGGGTGTGAGGTTAAAATTGTTGCATATGGAGCTCAACAAATATTTATTCAATGCCTAATGTGAGCAAGGCACTGGTGGGAAAGGGTAATAGAAAATCATAGACCTCATTAAGGCTCTGACTTGAGAGATTTAAAATCTAGATTCATCATTTGCTTATTGATTGGTTATTACATTCATTCATCATTTAAAATAATAAGGGGCCAAATGTCTATCAGCTGATGAATGGCTGAAGAAGATCTGGCTTTTTATACAATGGAGTTCTATTCTACCATAAAGAAGGACAAGCTTGAGACATTTCTAGGTAAATAGTTGCATCTTGAGGACATGCTCTGAAGTGAAATAAAGTGGAAGCACATGTGTAAATGCCACACTGTTTCTCTGGTGTGAGAAATGGAAAGTGTAAGTAAGGACCGAAATGTATAATAGATATTGTGAAGTAGAAAGAAAATAGTCAAATGGGAAGGGGAACTAGGAAGAGTGGAGGGGGACAGAAAGGAATGGAAAAGAAAAAATGATGAGAAAAGAAGGAGAAAATGGAAACAAAGCTTTTGTAAATAAGGAAGGGAAAGAGGAGTTGCAGGAAAGGCAGAAGAATAGGGGAAAAAAGAATCAAGTTGTGTCACGTACAGGTACAAAATCCCTATGGTGAATGTGATCATTATATATACCTAAAATGTACCAATGAACGTAATTAATTTAAAAAATAATAAGTAGGACAGATCACTGGCACTTGTTTTTTTAAATTGTAAAACATAATGAAGCACTTTTTCTTGATTTTAAAACTAGTATATATATTTATGTAGAAAATCTGGAAAAATAGAAAAGTTGTTAAGGTGAGATAAATTCTACGTCATGCCAAACATGATGCTGGGCACTAATTAAACATTTCAGGGAACCTCTTAGAAGCTGTGGAAGTTTGGCTGAAGCTATCACTTTATGACTTATCATTCTTAGCTCCTAAGGTCACTTCTCAAAAAATAAAATTTACCCTGTAATGTCTGCATTTTTGCCAGGTAGCTGTAATATAATGTGGTCACACAGCCAAAAGAAGCCTGGTTTCAACTGATCACAAATTCTTCAAGGTAACTTGAAATAAACATGAATATTTTTGTTCTGGTTTGTCTGACTGAGGAAACTCTGCCCTTAGGGTATTAACCTTCTACCTGGGGATTCAGACGATAAATAATACACCCGAATAAAACATGTTGTAAATGAAATGGTGATAATTGTAAGGGGAAAAAAAAGCACAAAAGGAGGATACTATATGTTGTGAAAATATTTTCACTGAGACTAGAATTCCAGATGGACTTTCTTTTCCTTCGTTAAGGGCTGGCAAACATTTTCTATGAGTGGAGAGATAGTAAGTATGTTAGACTTTGCAGACCAGGTGGTCTGTGTCACATCTACAGTGGTACCTTGTTCACAAACTTAATTTGTTTTGCAGTTCTGAAAAAGATGGCCATGTTTGTGTTCACGTGGGGAAGATGGCCATGGTTGTGTTTACTGCCTGATGCAGAGTTTGCAAACACAAACAAAATTTTGCCATACACTTCTTTTTGCAAGCCAAACTGTTTGCAAACAAAGGCATTAATGAGCCAAGTTACCACAGTACTTAATGTTACCACTGTAGTGTGGCAGTAGCCATAGGAATATATAGATAGATAAGTGTGAACCATTAAAACCTCATTGACAAAAACAAGTAGCAGACTGGGTCTGGGTCCATAGGGCCATAACTTGCAGATTTCTATATTACACTGAAGACACCATTTCACTCTTTCTTATTTATACTGTTATCACAGAGAAGTGAGCTGTTAGTCTAACTAAAATTTCTATGACGTAATTTGCATTTTCTTTTTGACTGGTTTTTAAAATTTTCTGTTTTTTCAACAATTTCACTTTGGGAAGTCTTTGCGTAGATATCATTTTACGTATTCTGCTTGGGATTTACTGGACTTCTTGAATCTGTGAATTCATCTCTTAAACCAGGTCTGGAAAATTGTGAGCCAGTATCTCTTGAAGTATTGTCTCAATCTTAAATTCTGTCCTCTCTAGGATTCCAATTAGACATATGTTAGATCTTTTCATCCTATTACTTATGCCTCTTATCCTCGCTTCTGTACTTCCTTCCCTTTTGCTTCTCCTGGCTATATTCTCAATAACTTCTTCTGACCTATCTTCCAGTTCATTAGTTCTTTCTCTGGCTATGTCCAATCTTTGGTCAAATATATTCATTTCATTTTTGCTTTCTTAGCATTTTTTCATTTTTGGAAGTTTTATTTGGGCCTTTTCCTACTTGTTATAGTTCTTTTAAAACTAGTTTCCTATTCTCCATAGATATTACAAGTTTTTTTATTTATTAAATCATAACACAGTTGTTTTGTCTTCTAATAATTACCAGAAACTGAAGTCTTTTAATATTTACATTTAAGTTGATTTAACTTGTCATCTAAAATTATTGCCAAACAATGTAAATGGCTGCTAATTCTGACCTCTGAGAGCTATTTGCTAATTATGAGTCTTTCTTGAAAGGCTAGCAGTCATTTGTTTTTACCCTGCATTGATTTCTTGTCCTTCTCTTACATAGCCCGTAGTTTCCTTAGGGAACTACTGATGCAACCTCAACCCATATGCTGGTGGGTTGACTCTACCTAGGGCCCAATGATGGGCATGTGACTTAGGCCTGACCAATCAGAGCTGAGGCTTTCCTTGGCCACAGTGACTGATCCAGGGATGATACAGATGATCAAAGTTAGTCCAAGGAGTCTAGATTCTAGGATTTTTTCCTAGCTGGTAATTTTCTACTAAAGTTACCAAGAAGACATATAAGTTGGAGCTTCAAGAAGCTCTCAATAATATAAGGATATAGTCTTCTCAAAATGGAGGAAGCAGAGCCAAGAAATACAGGAAACAAGCTCTAGGGGCATCCTGGAAGCCCCTAGATTCAGATCCACACCTCACTCTTTAAAGTTACATGCACAAAAACAAACATCTCTTTGTCATTTGGGCCTTTTACATTTGGTATTTTTTTTCATTTGCAGCCAAAGGAATCCTGACTAGCAGAGTGATTATGTGGCACACTCTGCCTTGCATTCCTGTCATGTACTGATAATAATATTATTTGCAAATTATATATCAAGAAACCACTCTCTTACATACCTTGTTTGTTTGAATCAGCAGCATTTTATAACTGGGAGAAAACATCAAATGTTCCACAGGGCTTTCAACCTCAAGAAAATGCTCTGTTTTGTAAGAACTGGAATCTTTAACAGTGAGAGAGTACACGAAACCATCCTGCAGACCAACACAATGATGTAAATGTGGAATAAAATTCTTGGGCAAGGCACAGAACACTTTCCTCATCAGGTAAGTGAAGGCATATGGATAACCACCTATTCATCACTTGGAAGCACCATCTGTGTTTGCATTACCTGGAACACACTGTCCTTTCCCCTTTATTTAGACACTTTTAACCATGTTCCTTGGCCAGTCTTCAGTTGTATCTCTTTGGTGATGCATTTTCCATTAACTTAAAATTTTACTGACCACTCCTTCCTTCCAGCATCTCTAGCCTCTATCTTTTCATTGTATTCTTCACTACACAGGAAGTGGGACAAATGAGGATGTTTATGTGGCTGGTGTACAGCAGTCACCTCACTTCAAAGGACACAAGCCCTGAGTATGTTCTTTAACCATTATTACATGCATTTCCAGTCTCCCTAAGTGAGCCAAGGGTAGGGATTCGCCTTTTCCTAGCTTTGGAGCCTCTTCGATAGCTCCTCGCACAGTGGCAGAATGTGGCAAGCGTCTAATAAAAATGGGTTGGTTGATTGGCTGTAAACAGAGTTAAACCCTCTCAAGAGGAACTGTGTTATTTTTATATAATGAAGAGGCTCTGGACAAACACATCCATCCTTTTCTAAAGTGGATCCCAGTATAACAAAGAGGCATGTGTGAGACAGCTGGATTCAGATGTCTGAGACCTGGGAGGTGGCTGAGACACACAGGTTCTTTCTCCAAACTCGTTACTGTTCTCCACCCCTCACCAGAGCAAACGCAACCATCATTTGCTTAAAGTAAGTTAAAACAAACTCTCAGGTGAAGCTGGCCTTGAAGCGAACAAGGGTCACGAAGGTCACAAATTTCAACTCCAACTCAGTGTTGAGGAGAAAAGAGGGGATAGTCTGCTCCATCGGTGGGGGCGGGGGGCGGATCTTGAGCTGAGCATAGGTACATGGGCCCCAGATGACTTCCCGTGGGTGGACATACATCTTTTTTTTCACCCTCATGTCCTTGCTTTGCTGCCCTCAGGGTCATAGGACGTGATCTGGGACAATGGAACAAACGAGCTAACCGTGGACCAGGGAAGGCTACATCTAGACCTGAGATTTTAGTATCGGTCAGTTCCGAACCTTAGCACTGATTCCAGCAGCAAGGGGACGTATGCCCTGACTCTATTTCCTACTTACTGGGGCTGTGTACTCTCATTAGCAGCAGCATAGACTTTAGAGTTTGACAGACCTGGGTCAAGCCTACTTCCGCTACTTACTTTCTGCTGACCTCTGTGAGACTTGGTTCTTTCGTCTGTATGGGGGGATAAGATGGTTGTGAGGACAAATACGCTCATACAGGTAAAGCACTTGAATGCCTGGCTCAGCAGAGTGCCTGGCACAAAGCAAGCACCAAGTAAATAAGTGGAGGCTGTTAATCACCATCATAACGTCCACAGTAATGACATGACAGACGTAAGCTAAATGGTCATGCCCGAGAGCCTATGCTGAAGCTTAGATAAAGGTTCCAAATTCATATCTGACAACCAGTATGTTATTGCAAAAATGAGTATAGAAACCTCTTAGATATTTTTGCCCGAGGGGAAAATGGCTTTTTAAATTCTATTTTTGTTTATTTGCAATAAGATGGATCTATGGCAGCTCACTGTATCATACTCTCTACTTTTGTATCAAATTGAAATTCTTCATAATAAAAAAATTTTAATTAATAATCCGAAATAACTTGAATCCCAAAATACGACTCAGGTAAGTGACAACAAATGGAAAGTATATTTTGTCTTGAAAGCAGTTAATTTTGAAAAATAAAATACGTTACAATTCCAGAAGCAAGGACGCCATCCTTCTGATATACCAGGGTGACTGGACTGAGAAGATGTGGTTTGTCTTTTGGAAAAGAGAAAAAAGTGTAAAGCAGGCAACATAAAATTAAAAGTGCAACTTGACAATGAATAACAGAAGCTGCTTAGAAATGATTACTCTGCATTTTACAGTGTGCAAACTTATATACCAATAAATAAACCATAGCAGTCAAAAAAGAAGGTGAAAGGAAAAAAAAGTAATCCATAAGAACATTTATTATAGTAAAGTATTGTCCTTGGAGGAAAACAGCACAGATGTATTACTACTTACAAAAATCAAAGAACTACAAAAATCAAGGGCTCAGACGGCATCTGTCAAATTATTTGTTTACTCCACACAGCTGAACAGTTAGCTAGCTGCTAAGAAGCGCACTGTCCTTCCCTTCAGAGTCTGCTCTCCTCCCAGGAGCACTTTCTTTTCCCATCCAGTCGACACTAGAGTCCAGGTTCTTATGCCTCCTGGCCCAGTCCAGGTGCATGCTGCTTGTGACCACCTCCTTCTAAGACCCTGCATTCCGGAACTGTGGCTACATTAGTCTGCCCATGCACCACTATTCCAGTTGAGGTACAGCCCCATCTATTTGGGGTATTTTGGTGTCTGCCCATCATCAGCTGAATCAAGTACAAATGCCTCGGCTGGACATGAAAGGAAGGTCAGACATGGTATGGATGTCCCTTCCTTCCCCACTATTTTCTTTTTACACTTGGTGCTCCATACAAGGGGCACTACTTCCTGTTTCTTGGCTTTCCCGTGTTTTCTCGTCCGTGCAGATACAGTGGCCAAATGTTCCACCTGTCCCATCTTTCCTGTAAGGCCTCCTTCAAGAGTCAGTTCAAATACAAGCATTGTAATGACAACAGGAATGGTTTCCCTCACCTGGGGCCCCTACAGCACTTCGTGAGGCTCTGTCCTAATGAAATTATATTATTCTTTCCCTCTTGGGCTATAGTTATTTGTCTACTTATTTTATCATGTTTAATAAAACCTAAGTCCCTTGAGCACAGAAATTATGAGACTCTGTATTTGTCACTTATCTAACCTCTAAAACACCTTGTTTTACTGCCTTCTGCATTATAGAGACTTGATAATTAGGTATTTGAAAGCATTTGTCATGGAAATCATAAGAAATGGCAAACAGGAAGGAAATAATGAACACTCTAAGACTACAAATGATTAAGTCCTGAGTTATGAAAAATGTATTAGAATTATGAGAGAAGTTTGGAAATGCGAAGCATTGTTCTGTAACTTATTTCACAAATATGTGTAGGTGTCAGTTTACTTTGTAGTGACACCGCTGTTACACTTTGGAGTAAAGAAGGAGCTAAAGAATGAAGTCTCTGAATGACTTCAAAGAACTGATGACCAATGGGACACATGGACTTGCACACGGGGCCTTTGTAATAGCACAGGGTGAAGCTCCCATGAAGGAGCGAGGCCCATGGAACTCCAGGTGGGGCGCCTCACTGTGCCTGAGGGAGGCAAGGCTAGGGAGGGCTCTGCATGCGAGGAAAAGCTCACCAAGCAGAAGAGAGGGGGATTCCAGGAAAAAGTCACTGCAGAAGTCAGCTAACACAAGTTGGAGGGAGCACAGCAAGGATGAGGAATTGTAAAAGCTTCAAGCAGGAGGAACTGAAACTAGAAAGACAGAGGTGGAAAAGGGTAACTCTGCAGAGACCTACTGAGCCAGGGCTCCATATACCGGCTGAGAGTGGAGCAAGCACAGACAGAGCAGTCAGAGCAAAGGGCGGGGCAGGGGGCAGCACTTCACCGGGACACGACAGAGAGAGAGATGAGGGCCGTGAAGCTGGGGTGGTGGTGGTGGTGGTGGTGAGCTGGGTACTGGAAGAATCAGGAAAAATGGCAGGGAGTGAGGGAGGAGGCATGGAATGTGGACTGTGAGGAAGGAGTACTAGCTAGATGACAACATATATAGGGGGTAATAGGAAGTAATGCTAATGAAGTCCTAGATCAAATTAAGGATGGCTTGGAATCAAGGCAGCACAGACTCTGAGTTGTGTATTAAAAACGATCTTTTAAAAGGGCCATTTGGCAGGGACAAGCCACCCAGTTTCAGTCAGATGTAGATCAGTGTTGAAGAAGTCAGTCCTGAAGTTGTTTCAGAAATCAAAGTGTGAGATGATAAGCGAAATTACAACAGAGTACCTTGGACAGTTTTGGAGCTTGCCCTGGTGTTATGGTTTGTGTCTAGTTGCCCCCCCAAAGCCTCATTTGGTCAGAGGTTGGGCTTGTTCAGAGGTGGCTGGATCCAGAGTGTGTGATGCTGGAATTGATTTATGGTGCAATGCAAGGATCAAGGGCTCTAGGATTCAGGCTGTGAGTGCTACCTACCCTGAGTAGCCTGGGTAAGATATAAAAGATAAAAAGAGCTGTGGTCAGCACATGTTGCTTTACCTTCTGCCCACCATGAACTGTTTCTGCTCTGCAATGCCTGTTTGCCTTGCCACCCTGCCTTGGAACCAGGCAACTATGGACTGAAACCTCTACAAACTATGAGCTAAATAAACCTTTCCTCCTTTAAATTTGGGTGTCAGCTATTTTGTCTCAGGAATGAGAAAAGTACAGACACCTAGTAAGGCTCTCTCCTAACAGGGTCTGCACCCAGCTTCTATTGGGTGAACATTGGCTCCTAGGCCTTGGCTCCAACCTGCTCACAGGAGGGACCAGAAGTGAACATTAGATATAAGGGTGAATATATCAGGGACTCTTTGAAACTGTCACCAAGCAACACAAAGGTAACTTTCAAGATTGCATTTGGTTAATTGGAGAAAACAGTTGAGAGAAGTGAGGGTCAAAAGAGAGCCCGAGCATCTGACTGTGCAGCACAGACATATGTATAGGAGATGATACCGGTTAGTGGATCAGTACTAGCATTCAGAGGTCTTATTGGCTGGTTCAGGTGTCAGCTCCACAATTTATGTGAATCTGAGAATCTCATAACCACATCTCCCTGTGTCATGGCAATGAAGACGTATCTTCTTGTAATATTTGGAGGATTACAGGTAGTAGTAGCAGAATGACAGGAACTTAGTAACACTAGCTAGGTCTAAGTTACACCCACAGGTTTAGCTAAATAACCAGAGGGTAAAAGAGAAGGAGAAGTCAAAGATGTCTCCAAGAAAAGAAAAAGTAAGGAATAAAACATCCATCTTCAAGTGTACACAAAACTAACACATATGGCTAAACCTTTGGGACTATAAAGCAGAGCAATTCCTCACCCAGTTGTTGCATCTTTTCTTCCTTCTGAAGCATAGTCACCTTCAACGTTTCTCCATTAATCATTAAAAGATGACCCTCTTCAGAGCCAACATACAGGTCACTAGATGGAGTCCAGCAGTGCATAGTGGGGTGAAGCAAAGTAAATAGGTCATCTTTTGGCTGCAGAGAAAGAATTAAAAATCTCCTGTTAAAACATCAATAATGATTAAGAGGCAGAGAAACACTCACCAAAACAATTGCCTGAAAGAAACCAATGACTATGTTCATACATAAATTTCACTGGTTTTGACATTTGCCAAGAGCTAAGTGAATTTTTTCTTTGCTCCATTTGCTCTTTACATTTTAATTCACTGAGAAAAAATGAGGTATCCTGCTAGCACACTCAGAGTTCTTCTGCTTTCACAGATTCTCATGAAAGTTTTGGATCAAATTTTCTAAACTTTTTTAGTGGACTTTTTTGGTTTTGTGGATCTAAAGTCATTTTCTAGCTAAAAATCACCCTCTGGGGAAGACTTTCATCAGTAATCCCCTCTGCTGGTTCTGCTGTGTGTCACTAGTGTGACAGGCTGGCTTGGTTCTCTGCTTAGTTGGCTCTCATGGGGAATGAGAAGAGGACCCTTAGACTGATTCTATGGTTCATGAGATATTCTGCATGATTTTGAGTTCACAAAAAGAAAAAAAACATGAAAATTAAAGAGACAGACCACAACAGAGAAAAAGGAGAGGGCAACCAGCACTTTTCCCCTCACACCTGGCTGGTGGCATGAGACAGGAAGATTGAATCTACAGAGACGCACTGAAAGCACTGACTCCAAAGCCACCAAGGGGAAATGCACCAGTGGAACAGAACAGTGGATGCTGCTGATAGCTTGTGAGTGACTCTGGTCCAAGTAGCTGCTTTGTCCCCTGGAAAGTGTGATACCATTTTAGGCAGGTGCCAATAGAACCCAGGACTCGGGGCAGGCACAGGTTGGCTTTATCTCAGGGCTCACAGTATTAATTCCCACAGTGACTGAATGAGGGACAATCATGGGAAATGTCCATGGTCAGGGAGCTGTGGGAAAGTTGGCAAGAGACACCAAGAGTGTTATAAGCTAAATAATGTAGGCCCCGACCTCATGACCAGATGTCAGATTCAGACTGAATTTCTATGGATTTGAAAATCCTAGAACCATCACTATACCCTAAACCTACTGCTGGCTTGCTGGGATTATCCAGTGTGGATCTGGCCTCTGATGGCCTCCTTTGCCTACCAGCAAGAGCAGAGTCACACCTTGAAATGGACACTATCACAAAATGATAGACCCTAGAAGATAACCACAGACTTGAAATCACAAAGAAACTTCCCCTTTATTCTTCTCCGTCTCCTTCCTCTTCCCCTTTTTCTTCCCCTCCCCTTCCCCTCCTCCTCTTTCTCCTCCTCCTTCTTCTCCTAGTTTTTGTTCATTTAGGTTTTTCTCTGATTATTTTTGTTTCTTTGTGAAGGTGAACATTATTTGAGGGTTTTTGGTTGGTTGGTTGGTTGGTTGTTTTGTCATTGTTTTTGTTTTTTCATTCTTTCCTTGCCTCCTGTCCTCTTCACCAGTTTCCTAAACTTGGGTAATCTTCCTCTGTACTTTAACCTTGCTTGTTTTTTTGCTTCTTTTCTTCTTTTATTTCTGTATTTTTTCTCTTCTCCCTTTTAATTTTCTCCCCTTAGGGTAAAATTGTTCTGTTGGGTGGATATTACTGTACATAATTATCTGACTTGTCTTAGATTTTGTTATATGAGTATAAATCTTATATGTAGGGTTAAAAGTAGCAAATTATTAGTTATCACAGCTTCTCACCTTACAGTCTGTGTTTGATACTGCTACTTTAGCCAAGGTGACATACTTGCTATGATCAATTGATCTTCCTTGTATGCCAATACCTAGCTTGCCTGGGTGTCATAAACAATACTATAGTACAGTACCAAAGAATTGAGTGCTAGCCTAAACAGGTTGCAACCTCTTATGACTAATAAACAGAAGAGGCAAGATCCTGGGATGGACTCAAAGGCCAAGAGCCAGCTATCCCAGAAGACATCTCTGAAAAGTAGTGATTTCTTGAAGAGGTCTTGATACCAGTAATAAAGCTACCTACCAGAAGCAATTTATAAGGCTCAATCAAGAAAACAAATAAAAGAAAGAAAGAAAATGAGAAAGCACAGAAACAAGATGCAACCTCAGATCTCCAGCTCACACAAAGCATAAGGGGCATTGAGGTGGAAGAAATCAAAAGCCACCTGGTTGAACTTTCTGGGAAGGTAGCAGTGGAAGTAACAAAGCAGATGAATGATTCTCTAGAAAAGAACAGATCAGGAAAAATAACAGAGATAATTAAAGAGATGATGAACCATAATGAGGGATATGATTAGTGAATATACAGTAGATGCAGATTTTTAAAAAGTAGAGGAGGAAAGTGATGGAAACTATGAATTTCCAACATAGGAAAGAACTGGATTCCATAAAACAGATTTAAACAGATACCCAAGAGATTGAAAATTATATTGAAAGTATGCAGAGCAGAATCAACCAAAGTCGAGACAGACTATCAGATCTAGAAGACAGGATTGCAGTTAGTGATCATGAAATGAAAGACTTCTTAAAAATATCAAAGGACCACAAAAAAATCAATCTAACAGCTGCTAGATGATGCAAAGAAGAATAACATAAGATTAATTGGAATCAATGAAAGCAATCAGGAGATGGCACAAATGACATTAAAAAAAAATTTGTTCACAGAAGTAATAGTAGAAATTTTCCAAGCATGGAAAAAGAATTTGACATACACAGAAGTGAAGCATGTAGAACTCCAATAAGTCAGGATCAGAAAAAATCTACACCAAGGCATATAATTATTAACACTTCAGAAGTACAACACAAGAGCAAAATATTTAAAGCTGTTAGAGAAAAGAAACAAATTACCTATAAAGGAAGACTAATAAGAATCAAAGCAGAATGTCAGCACAAGCCCTTAAGTCAAGGAGAGTTTGGAGTGAAGTATTTTAAGCCCTAAAAGAAAACAACCTCCAAACCCACATTGATTTACCATGGAAAATTGTCTTTCAAAATTGATTGAGAAATAAGATACTTCCATGATAAAGAACACCTGTAGAAATTCATGACTACCAAATCAGCACTCTCAAAAGTCCTGAAGGATGTTCTAGGAAAAGACAAGAAAGAAAATTTCAAGAATCCCAGTAGAATGAATCCACTAGGCAAAGACAGCAATAAAATAGAAGAGAATGAAAGATAATCAACAACAGAAATATAATATGCTGATAAGGACAAGTCA